GTGACACCGCTCTCGCAGTGAGTGAGGCCCCCAAAGAGGCTCCGGCTCGCAAGTTCGTCCCTGCCTCCGTGTACCTGGAGGAGAAGACTGATGAGCAGAAGAAGGAGGAGGTGGGTTCTGGGCTCAGCACCCCGCGCCGGGCCCGGGGTGATGCCCTGCGCCCCACGGCCCTGCCCGGCTCTCCCCACAGCTCCTCAGCGCCATGGTGGCCCGGCTGGGCAACAGGGACGACCCGCTGCCGCAGGACTCCTTCGAGGGCGTGGACGAGGACGAGTGGGTGAGTGCTGGACGGGACACCCGAACCCGGCTGGGTCCGCCCGGCCCCGCCGCGCCCTCACCCCCGGCCTCCCGCAGGACTAGGCCGGACCCGGGACAGAGCAGCCGGGACCCCGCACCCGGCGGGGCCACCACCAGGAGGAGGAGGAGGAGGAGGAGGAGGAGGAGGAGGAAGAGATGGAGGAGGCGCAGGGCCCGCCGCGGGCAGGACCCGCTATTAAAGCCGCTGCACCAGCACCGTGTCCTGCCGTGATCCTGGGACACCGGGGGGGACCGGGACTGGGGGAGACACAGGGAACGAGGGGCATGTGGAGCGGGGGCGACACCGGGACCGGGGGAGACACAGGGAACGAGGGGACATGTGGACCAGGGGCGACACAGGGACAGGCTCTGGGGGGTACGGGCATCAGAGTGACACAGGGCGGTAACCGAGCGGGACATGAGGACCGGGGCGGGGGGTACACAAGGACTCAGGGACTGCCACCGGAGGACAGGGAAATCGGGGATAACACAAGGACCGAGGGAGAGCCAGGGACCGCGGCGGGGGGGAACACGGGGACCGGGGGAACACAGGGACTATGGGCGACACCGGGACCGGCACCGGGATAACACAGGGACTGGGGATGGGGGCACACGGGGACCGGAGGAACACGGGGAGCGGGGCCGGGGAAGTCGCGCCCCACCCGGGGCCTCCGGCGCGGGGCGACCGCCAGAGGGCGCTGTGGCCGCAGAGGGGACGCTCCGCCCGCGCCGCCGCCGTCTCGGTGTCCGCCGTGACCCTCAGCCCCGGGCACGTGACCGGCGGGGCGGAAGCGGCGGCGGGGACATGGTGAGAGGGGACGGGGGACGCGGCGGGGGCACAGCGGGACCGGGGGGCAGGGCTGGGGCGGCGGGACCGGGAGTGTGAGAAACAGCTGGTTCCGGGAGGGCCAGGGCCAGTGGAGAGGGGACAGGGACAGGGGAAGGGGTCACAGGAGCAGGGAAGGGGGAAGTCGTGGGGAGGGGGGACAGGGACGGAGGAGAGGAGAGCAGGGACAGGGAGGGGGTGACAGGACCAACGGAGAGGGGACAGGGCGTGGGGACAAGGCACAGAGACAGGGGAGAGGGGAGGGGGCCTGGGGGAGGTATCACAGGGCCTGGGTGGGGGACAGGGACAGAGAAGGGGGGACGGGGCCAGGTACGGCCATGACAGGAGTCAGATGGGGTCAGAGCAGACCCCCAGGGCATGGGGAGAGGTGACAGGGCCAAGGAGCCGCGGTGGCTGTGACAGCAGGCTGTCCCCGCAGGCCAAGTACCTGGCACAGATCATCCTGGTGGGGGCCCAGGTGGTGGGACGGGCCTTCATGCGGGCGCTGCGCCAGGAGTTCGCAGGTACGAGCTGGGATGGTGCCCCGTGAGCTCCGTGTGCCCACGCTGCCCTGCAGGGGACACTGCCAGGTTGTCACAGGGGCCATCCTGGCCCTGGCACTGCTGCCAGGCTCGCAGAGATCCCAAAGGGCAGAGTGGGACAATCCCTGGGGTGTGATCCTGCCCTGCCTGCTCCCTGCACCTCCCTGGCACTGGGATGGCATCCAGCTGGCCCCGGGGTGGCTGGGTGGGGACAGAGGGGGCTCTGGGCACCTGGAAGTGGCCAGGTTTGCAGCCTGAGGGCCGGGGGGGTGGCAGGGGACTGAGGCCGGTGTCCCCAGCGAGCCAGGCCGCGGCCGATGCGCGGGGCCGTGCCGAGAGGCCCCAGTCTGCTGCTGCCTCCAGGATCATCGGCATCAGCCTCCAGGAAGCCCAGCAGATCCTCAACGTCTCCAGCCTGAACCCTGAGGAGATCCAGAAGGTAGAGGCTTCCTTGGTGCTGGCAGGGCCTGGCCTCTCCAGAGGTGCTGCTGTGCACGGGGGTGGCAGCTGCTCCCCTGTGCTGCCTTGGGCTCAGTTAATCACAGCTTGAGGACTTTGAGCATTCCCTGCCCCAGCTGGAGCAGCCCTCCAGGCTTGGGCTCTGCGTCTGCCCACCAGGGCTGCTCAGGGAGGGGATGTGGGAGCTCTGGAGGTGCCCTGCTGGGAACATGGGGGTGTCAGGCAGAGCCAGCTGTGTCCCCAGGATCACTCTTCAGTGCTCTGGGGAGTGGGAGGTGCCGGGGTGTGGGAGTGGGAATGGCAAGGCTGGAGGTGCCTCTGACCCAGAGCTTCTCTCGGCAGAACTACGACCACCTGTTCAAGGTGAACGACAAATCAGTGGGAGGCTCCTTCTACCTGCAGTCCAAGGTGAGCACCAGGAGGGGCAGGGAGGGGCTGCACCTTCCTAACCCTGCCTGGCCCTGGGACATCCTGGGTATACCCATGGATGAGGCAGGGAGGGCAGGGGGCGCCCAATCCCTGGATGTCTCCCCATCCCTGGGTGTCCCCCCCATCCCTGGTGTCCCCCATCCCTGGGTGTCCCCTTGTCCCTGGGTGTCCCCAATCCCTGAGTGTCCCCTACCTCTGGGTATCCCGTGTCCCTGGGTGTCGCCCCCATCCCTGAGTGTCCTCCCCATCCCTGGTGTGCCCCCACCCTTGGGTGTCCCCTGTCCCTGGGTATGTCCTCATCCCTGGGTGTCCCCTATCCCTGGGTATCCCCCATCCCTGGCTGTCCCCCAATCCCTGAGTGTCCCCCTGTCTCCAGCTGTCCCGCATCCCTGGCTGTCCCCCCCATCCCTGGCTGTCCCCATGTCCCTGAGTATCTCCCCATCCCTGGCTGTACCCCATCCCTGGCTGTCCCCCATCCCTGGGTGTCCCCCCATCCCTGGGTGTCCCCCCCATCCCTGAGTGTCCCCCCCCATCCCTGGTGTCCCCCATCCCGGGTGTCCCTGTCCCACAGGTGGTGCGAGCCAAGGAGCGGCTGGACGAGGAGCTGCGCATCCAGGCCAAGGGTGACACGGAGAAGGGGCGGAAAGCCGAGACGTGACTGCTGCCACCCCTGCCCCCCGTGCCCCTCACCCTTAACTTATAGCTAGCCAATAAACACCGTGTCCTCCAGCACCTGGCCTGGCTGCTGCACACCCGGGGAGGGAGCGGGCCCTGCCTGCCCAGCGCTGCCCTGCAGGGATCGGCCCCTGTAGGGACTGTGCTTGCCCGGGGGAGGAGGAGGAGGCGGAGGCAGCTGGGGAAGAAGGGATGTCCCCAGGGCATTGAGGCTGCCAGGGCTCAAATGGCACTGGGGGAGGCTGCAGGAGCTATTTTTGGTGGGGAGGTTGGATGCTCTTGGATGGAGTGCACCTCTGGCTCCATACCCTGGCAGTGCTGTGCCGTTACCTCTGCCCAGCGTGGATGGATGGCTGCTGGCTCGGGGTGAGGGGCTGTGAGGGGACACCTGTGGCCGTCCCCACCTGCAGCTCACCCCCCAGGTGCTGGCAGGGTGTCACTGGTGGCGAGGCTGCCTGAGCAGGAGCGTGGGGACACGGCCGGGGGTCAGGCAGGGCAGCCGTGCCCCCAAGGTCACACCCGTCCCCCCCACACACCTCTGTCCTTGCCGTTGGCACCACGGACTGAAACAGGAACTTACTTCAACTTCACTTTATTGTTTTCTTAATAAACTTCCTCTCCCCTGGACGAATATAGTGTTACAGTCGTTAGCTTATCTCGTACTTGTGCAGTCCTTACACGCTACGCTAACAGCGATGGAGCCCAACAGGAGGAAAATAAAAACAACCCAGAAACTACGATAGAAAGGCACTTCGAGACCGTTAAAATACTGATGTCCTGGAATGTGCAACAACAAACCGATGAGGAGCGAGGAGACGTTTCACCGGCCGGGGCGGCCTGGTCGGGGGCCCGCAGCCATGCAGGGCCGGGGCAGCGCCGGGCGGTGAGGGCAGGGAGACCGGCTCCCTGCGGGGCACCCCGGCCCGGGGCGGGACTGCGGAGCCCCCACGGCTCGGAGCGAGCGGGACGGGTGTGTGTGACCCGGGGGGCTCCGAGCTGCGCCCGCGCTGAGCTGGGCACGCTGCCCCACGGCCGGGGAGCATCCATCCATCCATCCATGCATCCATGCCCGCCGCAGCCCCAGGAGCGGTGCCCGGCAGCCGCTGCCGGCCGTGCCCGCGCTGCCCGCATGCGCTCGCGGTGCGTGGTTAGGTATGAACGTAGCTAGAGGGGGGCAGTGCCCGACGAGCGGCACACCGGCCGTGTGCCTTGTCACGGGAGGGCCGGGGAGGCGGCGGGGAGGGGGCGGGCGGGCGCCGGGCCGGCGGGTGCCCAGCCAGCTGGGCCCGGCACGGGCTGCCGGGGCCGGGATGGCACGGCCGGGCACGGCTCGGGGCTGCGGAGCTGTCACCCCGCTGTCCGTGCGGCAGAGCCCGGGGGCCGCGGCCCCCCACAGCAGCACCGAGGGCTCGGGCAGGGAGACGCCGAGTCAGCGGAAGCAGGAGAGCCCAAGCGGGACCCTGTCGGAGCAGGGGGCTGGTCGAGAAATAAATAGCGGCGTGTCCGGCTGCCCAGGGCCGGGGGGAAAGGAGAGGGGGCAGGGGGACCCCCCTGTGCCCCACCTGCCCCCAGCACGGGGTCGCAGCCGGCTCCGGCCGCCGAGGGATTATTGCTTTTCTCAGAAGAGTCCGTTCTTCTTTCGTGACGGGTAAAAGCACGAGCGAGGCCCCGCCGGGGCTGCAGGGGGAGGAGGGGGCCGTGCCCCCCGTCCCCAGACGGGAGCGGGATCTGCCCACGGGGCCGGCGGCTGACCCCGGGCATCGTCGGGCCCCTCAGTTGACGGCGGCGGGTTTGAGCAGCAGGGAGCCGGGGGGGATGAGCACCCAGCCCGGGGGCAGCGCCTCGGGGCTGCCCCCCGAGCTGACACCGGCCGACAGGTCGAGCACGGCCCCCGGCAGCAGCGCCAGGCTCTCGGGGGGCACCCGCGGCCGGCCCGGCTCCGTCCTTTCGCCCCTCTCCTTGCGGCTCTCCAGCCCCTTGCCCGCCTTGGGCGGCCGCCCCTCAGCCCCGCCGCCCTTCTCCCCCTCGGCCTTGGCCCCGCCGGCCAGCAGCGACATGACGGGCAGCCCCAGCCCCGCCGCGAAGGGCGAGGGCAGCAGCGGGCTCTTGGCCAAGTTCAGGGGGCCGCCGTTGAGGGGCAGGACGGGGCCGGGCAGGGCGGGCAGCGCGGCCGCAGCCCCGCAGCCCAGGGCGCTGAGATCGAGCGGCGCCGGTGCCAGCGGGATGGGCAGCGCCGGCAGCCCCGGCGGGGCGAACAGGGCGGCGGGGTTGGGGATGACGAGCTGCGCCCCGTTAACGTAGGGCACCTCCGCCGAGCCCAGGGGCGTTTTGGGAGGCGGGTGGACCTTGAGCATCTCCGGGTGCTCGGGAGACACAAAATGCCCGTGGGCTTTGATGTGCTTGCGGAGGGAGCTGGGGTCGGTGTAGCGCTTGTGGCAGCCCGGCATCTTGCACGAGTAGGGCTTCTCCACGTAGTGCGTGCGGGTGTGCTTGAAGCGGTCGCTGGAGTTGGAGTAACGCTTGTTGCAGCCTTCGTAGGGGCAGATGTAGGGCTTCTCGCCTGCGGGACAGCAGCACCGGGTCTGCCGGGGGCACCAGCCCTGCCGTGTCCCCGTGTCCCCATGTCCCCCCGAGCCCCAGCATTGCAATGAGGGGGCTGCTGTGCTGACCTGTGTGCGAGCGGTTGTGGATTTTCAGGTTCTCCAGGCGGGAGAAGCTCTTGTTGCAGGTGGGGCAGCGATGTGGCTTCTCGTTAGTGTGCGTCCGGATGTGGATCAGCATCTTGTACCTGCCGGGATCGGGGCAATCACAGAGTCATGGAATGGGCTGGATTGGGAAGACTTAAATCTTGTATAACTCAAACCCCCCCTGCCATGGGCAGGGACACTTTCCACTGTCCCAGGCCCTGCCCAGCCTGGCCTTGGACGCTTCCAGGGATCCAGGGGCAGCCACAGCTGCTCTGAGCACCCTGTGCCAGAGCCTGCCCACCCTGCCAGGGAACAATTTCCTCCCAATATTCCATCTAAATTTCTCTTTAGTTTAAAACTGTTCATCCTTGTCCTATCACCATGTGCCACAGAAGCATCAGGAAGGGAATGTTAGGGAGGGAGTCAGCCCTGCCTTCCAGGATCAGTCCCTGTCCCTGTGCCTTGGCTGTGGGGTGGGAGAACAGGGACATCCAGGCCAGCACAGTAACCCAGCGCCCCCAGGACCTCACACCCTGCATGACAGGGAGGGACAGATGGAAACTTCCCCTGCACATCCCCAGTGCTGGGCTCCTCCTCCCCACAGCAGCCCCCCAGACCCCCCCAGAGCCCCCCACGCCCACCTGGCGTTGAAGCCCCTGCCATGGCGGGCACAGCCCTCCCAGTGGCAGCAGTACCCCGCGTCCTTCTCGGGTTTCACGTGGAAGTCGTTGACGTGGTCCACCAGGTCTTGCAGGAGGTCGAAGAACTGGTTGCACTGTGGGCAGGAGGCTGGGGGTGAGGGAGCCCAGCAGGGTGGGCACCAGGGGGGCCAGTGCCCCCATCACAGCCAGCACCTGCCCCCCACCCCATCCCAGCTCCCACCTGTGTGCAGCAGCAGCATTTGGGGAAATGGAAAAGGCCCTTTACATGACACCCAGCCCTGCATCACCCCCAGCATCCCTGCACAGCACCCACCTCCCCATCACCACCTTCCCAGCCCTAAAACTTATCCTTCCCAGCCCTACTGTCCCTGCTTGGCCTCCCAGCCCCAAAACTCACCCACAGCCCCAAAGATCTCTGCCATGGCCTTCCAGCCCCATGTCCTCACCCTAGCCCCAACATCCCCCTGTGTGCCCCCCACCCTTGCAATGCCCATGTGGTTTCCCAGCCCCTGATCACCACCTGCACCCTCTCAAAGCTCCCACACACCCCCACCATGACCCCCCACAGCCCCAGCTCTCCCTGCTGACCTTGGACCAGCGGCAGACGAGCTGCTTGGGCAGGGGCAGCTCGGGGGGGAGCCGTTTCTCCTTGCTGGGGGGCAGGAAGGCAGCGGGGGGCAGGTGCAGGGCCCCCCCGGCCCCCAGCGGCAGGAAGAACTGGAAGGAGCTGGGGAGGCCATCGATGTAGCGCAGGGACTGGAAATCCTGGAGCAGAGTCCGGATGGAGGAGCAGTGGGGGACAGGGCCAAGCTGGATGGAGACCCCCAGAGACGCCCCCCGAACCCTTCAAGAGATTCCTTATAGCCCCTCAGGAACCCCAAAACCTCACACAGACCCCCCCCCAGAGATCCCCCCCACACTCCCCAGAAACCCCCTAGATCTGCCATCCCCCCCAAAACCCCACAGAGACCCCCAGAGACGCCCCAAAGAGACCTCCCAGGGGCCTCCCCGGGGATACCGCTGGGGCCGGGGGGGGCAGGCAGGACATTGCCCCGGGCTGTGTGTACAGCGGCAGCCCCGGGCACGCTGCCGAGGTCGGGAGCACTGTCCGGGCACCGTCCCCACAGCTGGGGACACCTCGGGGGGGGTCACGGCCGTACTTACGTGTGGGGTGAGGGGGCCGGGCAGGTCCCCGCTGCCCTGGCGCTCGGGGGACAGCGAGGCGCTGCCCGCCGGAGAGTCCCCCCCGGAGCGGGGCGAGAGGCTGAGATCCACCACGGGCACCGGGAAGCGCCCGTCCCGCGGCTCCCCCAGCCGGGAGTGTCCCAGGAGCGCGGGCGACGGCGAGGCTGGCACGGCCCTGCGGACCCCCCGGGCGCCCCCTCGGCCCTCCCCGGCCGGCGGGGTGTCGGGGCGCTGGGCAGCGCGGGCTCGGGGGCCGGACGGGCCCCGCTTCTCGCGGGCAGCTCGCAGCTTGGAGATGCTCAGCTTGAGGTCCAGGGGCTCCTCCAGGGAATGCATGGTGCCGGGGTGGGCTCTGCGGGGGACACCCGGGGGTCACCGGTGCCACCCGGAGCATCGCCCCAGCGCGGCCCCATGGCGATGCCCGCTCTGCTCCGGGCCGCAGGACACGGTGCTGGCACGGAGACCGCGCCGTCCCTTCCGGCCGCCCTGCCGCGGCCCCCTCCCGCAGCGGGCAAAGGGCAGGGCATGGCACCGCGCCCCCCCCCCCACCCCGGCCCTGCGGTGTCCCCAGTGTGTCCTCTCCGTGTCTCCGGCACAGCCCCTTGGCCCGCGACCAAACCTTGCCGGGGATTGCCAAATCCCCTGGGCACCCGCGGAGCTACAGCCGTGGTGTCCCCATTCCACCCCCCTCCATCCGTTCATCCATCCGTCCGTCCGTCCGTCAGTCCCCGCGGGCCTGCCCCAGCGAGGCCTTTCCCAGCGGCAGAGGAGGGCGGTGGCGGCCACCAGCCCGGCGGTGACCCGGGCGGCCGAGCCCGCTGGCCCCAGCCCCGGAGGCGGCAGAGCTTCCTCCCCCGCCGGGGCCCCTTCCCCGCCGGCCAACGCCGCCGCTGCCGGGGCCGAGCAGGGGCTGCGGCCGCACGGCGCGCCACGGAACGGCACGGAACGGCGTGGAACGGCACACAGCACAATGCCACCCTCGCGGCCCGGCCGCCGCACATCTGGCGGGCAGCTGAGAACGGGCAGCTCGGTGCAGCGGTGAGCGCCCGGTGCCGCCCCCCGGCCGTGCCCCCGCGGCCACCCGCATCGGCCGGGGCGGGCTGGGGGCGGCCGAGGGGCCGTGTCGGGGGGCACGGCGCACCCAGCACACGTGGCAGCGGGGGGGCCCCTCCATCATCCCCACCCCGCCCCGGGGGGCCCGGCCCCCGCCCTGCCCCGCCGGAGGGGCTCCCGCGCTGGCGGGGGTCCAGCCCGGCTCAGACGCTGAGGAATGCGGAGGAGCCGCGGGGGGCATGGGGCCCGGGCGGCGGGGCGGGGACCCCCCGCTGCACCCCCGAGCTGGCCGAGGGGAGGCCCCAGGGGGGGCTCCTGTCCCGGGCTCCCGGCGGGGGAGGAGCCGCCCCACAGCATCGCGTCCCCCTGCGCCTCCCGCGGCCGGGGGTCAGCCCCATAGGCGGGGCCCTCCCCTTCAGCGGGGGGGTCCTGGCCCGAGCATCCACCTCCTCCCGCCGCTCCGGAGGCTGCCCCATCTCAGCGTCCCTCTGCCGGGACAGGGACTCTCGCTGAGGTCTCCCGGCCTGCCCGCAGTGGGGCCCTTCCCCTCTGGGGGGGCTCACCCTGCGCCCACTGCGGGCTGTGCCCATGGGCTGTCCCCACCCTGAGCCTCACCACGATTCTCGGCCTCCACCACCCCCCTGTGCCCCACAGCCTGCTGGCACAGCTCGGGGACAGACAGACACAGGGGCAGGACCCACAGCTGGGGTGGCACAGCCGGACCCCCAGCCCAGGGAGTGGGACAGGGGCTGGCATCCCCCCACACGGGGCCAGGCAAGGCGTCACTGCTGGTCCCACCACGACGGTCCCGTCCTCACGTCCTCGGGGCTGGGAGGTTGGGGGGTCCCGGTGCGGGCGGCGCTGGGTGGGGACCGCAGCCATCCCCGGGCGGGACGGGTGGGACAGGGGCCTCCAGCCGCTGACGCCAGGGCTCCCAGCGCGGCCGCGGGCGGGCGAGCAGGAGGCTGCCAAACCACGCGGCCTCGGGAAACGGGGCGCCGCGGGGGCCCCGCGGGGATGGGGACGGGGACAAGCCCTGCGGTGGCTTGGCCGGACGCCCCAGCACCTGCGGCCCCCGCGCGAGGCCCCTGCCCGCTCCTGCCTGCCCCTGCCCGCTCTCCCCCCATGGCCTCTCCTGCCCGCGCCAGGCGCTGCCAGCCCGGCCCCGGCCCGGCTTCCCCCCCGCCGCACCAGTTCAAACCAGTCCGGCGCGGGGCTGGGCCCAGGGGCTTCCCAGGGCGGGGGGGGCGGCTGGGATGGAGCCCGGGCTGGGGGGAGCCCCCCCATCCCCTGGGCCCCCCGCACTGCCTGGGACGGCCGGGGGACCCGGGGTGACCCCGGAGCGGCCGGCGGGGTGCCAGCTCTCCGGGCTGCCGGCACTGCCGGGGTGTCGTGTGTCCCCCCTCCAGCCCCGTACCCGCCAGGAATAGCACGGAGGGAGCGCGGGCAGCGGCTCCGCGGCGCGGTGGGCTCGGGGATGGCGGGATGGCACTGCCACGGCCGGGGGACGGTGACCCCGGGGCTCGGGGAGCGGTGCCAGCGCCGCAGGCAGGGCTCGGGCTCCGCCGCCGTGGCAATTGGCAGCGGCAGGCTGGCACCGCCGCCACGGGGGGCACTCCGCGGAGCCCCCCGTGCCAGGGCGGCGTGGGTGGGTTGGCAGGATGCGAGTCATTGTCCCCACGGCTGCTGGCAGGACGCGGGCGCCCGTGGGACCCGACCATCGCTGTTTGTCCCAGTGCAGATGGTGCTGGCACTGCCACGGCCGCTCCTCACGGGAGCCCACCGGTGCCTGACGGGTCTGGGGGAGGCGAGGGGGGGTCACATCCTGCTGGCAGCTCCATCTTGTCACTGTGGCCCTCCAGCACCCGGCACCCCGCGCCAGCCGGGCTGGCGGCCGCTGCCAGAGGTGTCCCCAGGAGCGGACACGGCTGTGGTCCCCGAGCTGAGGCCGGTGCCGTGGCTGCCCCTTCCCGGGCATGTGGAAGCCGTGGGGATCCTGGCAGAGGGCTGACAGCAGCCCCACAGCGCCAGGGCCCCCGCCAGCCCTGCCCGGGGACACAGCTGGAGCAGGCGGGGACAGCAGCGGGGTGGTCCCGGCACCCAGCGGAGCAGCGCCCTGGGTGCGGCAGCATCGTGGGGATGGGGGCACATGGGGACCCGGGCTGGGGGAGGCGGTGACAGCAGGGTGACAAAGGCATGGGGAAGGGGAGGTGTCCACCGGCTGCAGGGTTTCTCCATGCTGGGCAGGGAGCGAGCGCCTGCAGCAGCGCCCGGGGACACCGGGGACAATTTGTGGTCCCCGCTGCTGGCACCTCAGGGAGGGGGTCACACCGTCCTAGTCCCCAAAACACCCCATAATGGCACAGCCTGGGCTTGGCCGCCCCACGCCTCAGCCCCACGGGGCCGTGGGATTGTCACCCCCGCGGTGGGGACTGTCACCTCTCACCATGGGGAGCGGGAGGCCCCCGCCAAGGGGACCGGGGTGACGGGCGGCTGCCGGGCGGTGGCACCGCCGGAGCGAGACAGGGATGGGGACGGCCTGCACCCCCCACCCACTGCCACCCTTTCTCCCCTCTCGCACCATGGGGACACTGCTGTGTCCCCGGAGGTGGCCGCAACCGGGCAGAGCCACCCAGCGCGCCCCCGCCGCAGCCCCCGCCCCACGGCCAAGGTCAGGACACCCGCCCGGGGTGTGGGGGGACGGCAGGAGACGGCCACCCCCCCCGGCACCCACCGGGCAGCGGGAAAGCCCCCGCTCCTCATTTCCCTCGGGGGTGCGGCGGGGCCACGTCCCCCCCCGACCCGCTCCCTGGGCGGGGGGGCCGCAGGTGCCAAGGGACCCCCCGCACCCCGAGGGTGGCGGGGAAGGGGCTGCCCGGAGGGTCCCCCCTCCCCTTTCCCCGGCGGTGGCAGCATCCTCCTCATCGTCCTCCTCCCCGCGACGGTGCCCGGAGCGCGACCGTACCTGCGGCGGGGGCTCAGCGCCGGGCGGGAAGCGGGGCGGGGTGCGGGGCTCGGCGGAGCGGGGCCCCCCGGGGCCGGTGCCGGGGCCGGTGCGGGGCGGCCGGGCCGCTCCGCCACATCCGCAGGGGCTGGGGGCGGGGGTGGCGGCGGCGGGGCTGGGCCCCCCCTGCCCGGTCCCGGGGGCGGCGGCGGGGCGGGGGCTCTGCCCGCCGTGATTTATGGCCGCCCCGCACCGAGCGGCCCGGCCCCGGCTGCGGGCGGCGCTGGGCGGGGGCGGGGGCGGCCCCTCCCCGCCCCCGCGGGGGGCACCGGGGGGCACCGAGCCCCGCCCCGGGGGGGGAACCCGCCGCCCCCCCGCACAAGGTCACCCCGGCGCTGCGGCAGAGCCGACCCCCCCTCCCCCGCGTGTCCGTGTGTCCCCTCGCGTGTCCCTGTCCCCCCCCGGGGACGTGGCGGGGCGGGGGGCGGCGCCCACCGGAGCCCCCACCCCGTACCGGGGCGGCGAGGGGGGGGCGAGGGGGTCACCCCGGGGAAATGGGGGTGGGGGGGGATCCCCCTCCCCGCAGGAGCGGCGCCGCCCGCCCGCCGCGTGACGTCACAGAGCGGGGCTGGCGTCACGCCTGGCGGGGGCCCCCGCATGACGTCACCGGCGGGGGGGTTGTCCCGGGGCCGCGGCTCCTTCCGGCGGCAGGATGTGGCGGGGCCGGCCCGGATGCTGCAGCCGCGCCTCGCCGGGGGGGTCCCTCCCTCCCTCCGTCCCCCGGGGCCCACGCGGGTGGCTGGGCACACCCCGCCCGCGATTTTATTGCGGGCGGAATGCAGCTGCGGTGTCCCCAACGCCCCTCCGACACGGGGGACAGGGAGGGGGGACACGACCCTGCCCCACGCGGTTTTTGTTTGGTTGGGTTTTTTTTTTGGTTTTTTTTTGGTTTTTTTGCGGGGAAAGCTGCAGTGTCCCCAACAGCGCCATGTGAAAGGGAGGACACACGCGTGGGGGACAGCACGGTCCCAGGCGGGTGGCTGAAGTCACGCCCCACCAAAACACCCGTGCTTGTTTTGTTTCCGTTTCTTTCTTGTTTTGTTGGTTTTTTTTGTTTGGTTTTTTTGTTTTTTTGGTTTTTTTTTTTGCAGGGGGAGATGCGGTGTCCTCCCTGCGAAAGGGAGGGACACACGGGGAGGACGCTCTGTTCCATGCGGACTTTTGGGTGGAGAGGGAGCTGCCGTGTCCCCAAGAGCCCCACGCAAGGTGGGACGGAGTGAGGGGCACAATTCTCCCGCGGGCAGCTGAAACCACATCCCAGCCGCGGTTTGGGGTTTTCTTTTGCGGGGACAGAGCTGCTGTGTCCCCAGCAGCCGCGCAGCAGAGCGGGGACACGGATGGAGGGGCAGTTCTGACCCACACGGGCGGCCGGAGCCACATCCCACCCGCGTTTTTCTGGGGAGCCGCCGCGTCCCCAACATCCCCGCCACGAGCAGGGCAGACACGGGAGGGCAGCACCGTCCCTCCCACGCGGGTGCCCGAGGGGTTCCTGCGGTGTCCCCACGGTGTGTCCCCATCGCGGTGCCAGGCAGGGGGGCCGCGCTGCTCCCCGAGCCGCGGGGCCCCGCGGGGGCCGGGCAGGGGGCCCAGGGGACACCGGCAGAACCTGTCCTGCAGCTCCCGGCGGGGCCGGGCCGTGCTGGGGGAGGGCTGAGCCCACCCTGCTCTGCAGAGCGGCTCCTGCCCCTCCGGGGTGACAGCCACCCCCTGCACCCCCAGCGTCCCCGCTCCGGGGGCCCTGCACCCCCGCAGGCACTGCTGGGGGGGCTGTGGGGGGAGGTCCCCTGCCACAGGTAGGTCCCTCAGGTACCACACGGCTCCTGCCAGCCCCCCGTGGCCCCTGCCAGCCCTGTGCTCCCCTACCAGTCCCCCAGACTCCCCTCCCAGCTCTGTGCCTCCCTGTGACCCCCCCCCACAGCCCCTGCCAGCCCTGTGACCCCTGCCACCCCCTACACCTTCCTGCCACCTCCACAGCCCCCCAAAGCCTCTATCATCCCCCATTATCCCCCTAAGCTTCCCCCATCCCTCAGAACCCCTCTGCCAGCCCCTCAGAAGCCCCCCTAAAAGCCCCCTGCCCACATGAACCCATCATCCCCAAACCCTGAACCCCACCTGGAGCCCCCCATGCCTCCTGTGAGCTCCATGCCCCTGCCAGCCCCCAAACCCCTGTTAGGCCCCACAGCCCCTTGCCAGCTCCCAGAGCCCTCCAGCAGTTCCTCGAGTCCCCTGCCAGCTTTCAGAGCCCCCCAGTCAGCTCCCCAAGCTCCTCACCAGCCCCCAGAACCCCCCATGAGCTCTCAGGATGCCTCTGGCAGCCCCCAGAGCCTCCTCCCCAAAGCCCCTTGCCAGCCATGGGATCCCTGTCACCCCCAGATCCTCAAGGCTGCTGTGACCCCCCCCTTCCCCCAGCTGCCCCCTGAGCCCCTCAAAAGCCTGACCCTGCTGGAAACAGGAACGGGATGGGATGTGGTGGGATAGGAATGGGATCAGATTGAATAAAAGAGGAAGGGACAGGACTAGGATAGGCCAGGTTGGGTAGGATAGGATGGGGAGGGGATTAGGTGGGATTGGGATGGGGATGGGGTAGAATGGGGTGGGACAAGCTGGTTGTAGGAGAGGATTGGATGGGGACAGGATAAAATGGAATAGGAACAAGACAGGTCAGGATAAGGTAGGATAGGGTAGGATGGGATAGGGCAGACGAGGTGGGATGGGGATAAGGCAGAATAGAATGGGAACAGGACAGGATGGAATAGGATTAGATGGGTCTGGAACAAGACAGGTCAGGATACCATGAGATGGGATGGGATGGGATGGGATGGGATGGAAAGGAAATGAGGCAGGTCAGAATGGGCCGAGATAGAATTGGATGGGATAGGTTAGGATGGGATTGGATGGGATGAGTTAGGATGGAGTGAGGGCAGGGTGTGATGGGGATGAGATGGGGACATGTCAGGTCAGGGTAGGATGGCATAGGACTAGGGCAGGATGGGATGAGGATGGGATGGGGATGGGGATGGGGATGGGATAGGATAGGGTAGGATAGGATAGGATAGGGTAGGATAGGATAGGATAGGATAGGGACCAGGCTGGATGGAATGGAGACAGGTCAGGATGGGGTAGGGTAGAGCAGGATAGGACAGAACTATGGCAAGATGGGCTGGGATGAGGTGGGATGGGGACAGGTCACATTGAGATAGGATGAGATAGGGACACAACAGGCCAGGGTGGGATGGGATAGCAGAGGATAAGGTAGGATGGGATGGAGCTAGGGCAGGATGGAATGATGTGGGGTGGAATGGACACAGGTAAGGATGGGGTAGGATAAGACAGGGTAAGATAGGGTAGGATGAGATGGAGCTAGGGCAGGATAGGATGAGGCGGCATGAGAGGGGGACAGGTCAGGGTGGGATAGGGTAGGGTTTGGTATGATACGATAGGAGGGCTATGGAGTGGCATGGGGACAGCTCAGGATGGTATGAGGTGGGATGCGTTGTGCACAGGGCAGGATGAGGGTAGGATGGGACAGAGCGGGACAGGATAGAGTAGCACAGGATAGAGCAGAATAGGATGGAGCCAGGTCAGGACGCGACGCGCTGTGACGGGCCGGTGCCAGCACGGCTCGGTACCGTCCCGGCCGCTCCAGTCGCCCCCCGCCCCGCCGTGTCCCGCCGCGTTCCGCCGCCGTGTCCCGGTGCCGCTCCGGCCGCGCCGCGGCCCCTCCCGCCGCCTTTGTTTACGCGGGGCCGGTGCGGGGCGGGGGCGGCGCCGGGCGGGCGGGGGCGGGCGGGGGAGCGGCGGCGGCGGCGGGCGGGAGCCGCGCTCGCTCCAGCTGTTTCCCGCCTTGGGCCGCGGGCAGAGGCCGGAGCCGGGCCGGGAGGGGCTGAACCGGGCCGGGACGAGCCGGGCTGGGCTGAACCGGGCCCCCCGCCCCCGTTATGGAGTACTTCATGGTGCCGGCCCCCAAGGTGCCGGCCCTGCAGCACTTCAGGAAATCCGAGAAGGAGGTCATCGGTGGGCTCTGCAGGTGGGGGAGCGCCGGCAGATCCCGGGCTCGGGGGTCTCGGGGGCACCGTGGGGGGATGGCGGGCAAGGGGGGAGCGGAGAACGGGGGGAGCGGCGCGGCGGCCGCGGCCCCACCGCCCGCACGTGGTCCCGGCCGCGCACATGGGACCGGCGGCCGCGCGTGGCCCGGGCGGGGAGCGCCGCGCCCCCGGTCCCGGCCGGGCCCCGCGGGTGCAGCGAGGCGCGCTCGGGGCGGGGGGCGCGGGGCGCGGGGGTCCGGGGGGCGCGGGGGTGTGTGTTTACCGCCGGGCCTGGCCGTGACTCTGCAGCCGCCCGGAGGAGGCGGGTCGCGGCCGGGGCTGCCGGGACATGTAGTGCGGGAGCGGCGGCACAAAGCCCGCGGACACGCGGGGAGCCCCGGCGGGCGGGGGGGCGCCCGGGGACCGGGGCTGCGGCCGCGGGGGCGGCGGGCGGGGAGGGGTCGCGGGCGCCGGGGCCACGCGGGGCGGCCCCGAGCCCCCCCGAGCTCCCGGGGCCTGCAGCTCCCGCCCCCGGGCGCGCTGAGCCCCCCGGGCCCGGGGCCGCCGCGGGGCCGCACTCACGGCCGGGGCCGAGGGACTGAGGGGCGGCCCGGGCCCCGGGGCACGTGCTGGGGGCCCGGCCCTTCGGGGTGCTGCCCCACGGCCTGCGGGGCTCGTCCCGGCCATGCCGGGGAGTGGCCGCACCTGAGTCCCCCCGGAGGGGCCGCGACCCAGGGAAGGGGGGCTGGGGGGCGGCTTCTCTGGGGTCCCTGGCGGTGCTCGCTGCGGGCCCGCGGGCCGGGGGTGGCTGCATGGGCTGGGGGTGCGGCCGTCCCGCCGGGCACTGGGGGCTGCACGACCCCGCACTGACCCCGCACGGGGCAGAGCTCGGGGAGCAGCCGTCCCGCTGCCCCCAGCTCCGGGAGACCCTGCATGTGCTCAGGCCGCTCGGTGGTACCCTGCGTGCAGCTCGGGGTGCCGGGGCTGCCCTGCTTGTGACCTCCAGGAGCTCGGGGACACCCTGCCTGCGAGCTCAGGGTGCTGGGGGACAGCCTGCCTGTGAACTGGGGCTGTATCCTGCTTGTACGCTCAGGTGTACCCTGACCCTGTGAGCTTAGAAGTGCCCTTCATGGAAGCATGGTGATACCCTGCCTGTGCACTTGGGGATGCCCTGCCTGCAGGCTGGGGAACACCCTACCTGTGACCTCAGGGAGCCTGGGGACACCCTGCCCCCATGGCCGTGCCTCCCTTGACCTCCTGCACAACCCACAGCACAAGGTGTGATCAGTGTTGAACATGAGTGGACAGGGGGGCATTTGCCTTGTGCCTGGCTCCAGCCACCCACATGGGTTTGTTTCCCTCGCGGTCCAGGCCAGAGAAAATGCCCTCCCCAGCGTGGGAAGGACCAAATTCTGCTTGCCTGACACAAACCCCACAGCACCAGCACCAGGCTGGAGACACCCCAGGGGCTCCAGTGGGTGCCACCTGCTCCCCCTGCCCCATCCCTGGCCATGCTGGGTGTCTGAATCCATGGGTTTTTGCCCTTTCCGTATTTTGCTGTCACTTCTCAGGTCTCTTCCCAGGAAGAGCAGCTGGGGCAAGTTGCGGGAGGTCTCCCGGTGAGGAAGCAGGCTCTTCCTCCTTTCCCAGTATTTAAGAAAGCACTTCCGTGCTGCCCAGTCCTGGGCCTCTCCATCCCATTCCCCCTGAGTGTCTGGTGGTCCCACATCCTGGAGCAGTGCTCCAGCCACCTCCTTACCCCAAGAGGGACGATGTCTCCAGGACCTGCAGGGTCTGGTGTGTTCTGGGGACAAGTTTGGGGCTGGTTTCAGCAGGAGCAGGGAGGTGGGTGACAATCACCACCAGATGGGAGCCCTGTGCCACAATCCTGCTGCAAGCAGCTCTTGGTCCGTGTGGCAGAGGCAGCTCCCAGGGAGAGGGGCAGACCCCTGGGCACCCATCCCAGCTCCACACCCCCATGTGGGGGACCCAGTGCAGTGTGTGCTTGGCACCCAGCATCAGCCTATGCTGGGACACTGCCCCAGAGATTGGGGACAAATATCTTCCTGGCCTCCGTGGGCTGAGCTGGGGTCCTTCCTTATCCCCTTGGCATGCACTGGGGTCCTTCCCCATCCCTCTAGAGTAATCTGGGGTTCTTCCCCATCCCTCTAGAGTAATCTGGGATCCTTCCCTATCTGCTTGGGATGAGCTGTGATTCTTCTCTGACTTGCTGTGCATGTGCCCTTGGACAGACGTGGAATCCATCCCCTTCTTAGGCTGAGTGAGGATCCTTTGCCATCCCTCTGGGATGAGCTGGTTCTATCCCCATCCCTGTGTACCATGGATGAGTTGTGGTGCGTTCCCCACTTGCAGCAGGCAGTGATGAGTGGCCTGAGAGTCTCTGGTCACTGCCTGGGCACACGGTGGTGCTGCTGATATCCCTTAGATCCCCGCGCTCCCAAACCTCGGTGCTTCCTCCCTGGCCTCACCAGGAGGGCAGTGAGGGCAGGATGCTGGGCTTTGCTTCCCAGCGTGGCTTTGGCAAGGCTCTGGGTGGAATGTTCCCACCTCCCCATCCCGGAGCCGCCGGGCACCTGGACGGGCGGGAGCCCGGCTTATCTCGCCCATGCCGGCAGCCCGGCTGCCGTGTTTAGTCTTTGGTGCCTCGCAGCATCCCCGGCGCCAGCGGGTGCCTGCCCGCTGGGGAGACTTGGCATGGTGTGATCCAAAACCTCTGCCCTGCTTCCCTCGGGGAAGAAGTGGGGTGTGGGTGAAGCTGGACCCCGTGGCAGCGAGCTTCGCTCGGGTCTGGTGCTCTGCACCCGTGGGTGTTGGCTGCCCGGAGCCCTCGCCCTCCGTGCCGGCATTTTCCGGCCCATCTGCAGGGCAAGGGCGTGGGGGGCGAGGAGGCAGCGGCAGGAAGCAGGCAGGAGCTGCGGCTTGGGGTGGGACGGGGGCTTCTCTGCTGGGAGCTGTCATCTGGAAGCCATCAGCGGGGCGGGAGGGAGGGAGCGCCTTCCCGGGGCCACACACGCCGGCCGGCCCGCGGGGACACAGCCGGCCAGCCCGCAGCCTCCCTCGCCCACCTGGGCGTCCCTGGCCCAGGCTGGGCACTGGGCAGTGTGGCTGAGCCCAGAGGAACCAGGGGGCTGCAGCGGGGCTGTTGTTTGGCCAGTGCATCCCCCAAAGCTTTGGACACAGGGCTGGAGAAACCCACCCACCTGCTTTGGTGATTCCAGCACTGCAGCCATCGTCCCCTCTGTGTCACCCGTCCCTTTGGTGGCTTGGAACATCACTGCAAAGCAAGGGGGGATGCAGTGAGCTGGCAGCAGGGGTGCAGCCCCTCTTCCCTAACCCTGGGTCTCTCTCACAGCTTGGCCAACATCCCACTGACTCCAGAGACCCAGCGGGACCAGGAGCGGCGGATACGCAGGGAAATCGCCAACAGCAACGAGAGGCGGCGGATGCAGAGCATCAATGCTGGCTTCCAGTCCCTGAAAACCCTCATCCCACACACGGATGGGGAGAAGCTCAGCAAGGTGAGCAGCATGCACACATTGGTCCTGCACGTGGAGGGGCTGAAGGTGGAGCTGGGGGCATTTGGGTGTTAACTCGGTGATGGAGCTCTCTCCTGGGGAGGTTTCCCAGCAGGAGTGGGTGTGCATCCCCAGCCTGGTGTCTTGGAGTGGGCCGGGAGTGTGGGACAGCCCCCAGTGCCCCAGGAGCAGGGTGACACATTCCTGGGTGAGGAAGGGACCTGTGCAGAGGAGAGTGGCATGAGGAGGCAGCTGTTGTGTTCCCAGGGTGGGTGAATTGGACGGTTTCACCAGGGGAACCTGGGGTGAAGCAGACTCTAGGAGGAGACACCAGGGACAGGCAAGGAGCAGTGCTGCTTGCAGAGCTCACCTGGAGGAGGCCTGGGGGACACCAGGGTCTCCTGCCTCAGCCTGCCCCTCCTCCTCCTCCACAGGCAGCCATCCTCCAGCAGACAGCTGAGTACATCTTCTCCCTGGAGCAGGAAAAGACTCGGCTACTGCAGCAGAACACCCAGCTCAAGCGGTTCATCCAGGTACTGCCCCGGGGATGGGACAGCAGGGGGTGGGACAGTCCTGGCTGGCCAGGGGGGGATGTCATTGCAGTTCCTTGGGCTCAGGGTGGAGCCCTCTACCCTGCTCAGCCAGAGAGTGGAGGTGTTTCCATTCCCCTGGCAGGGCAGAGAGCCCCATTCAACCCGGCATCTCTTACCTGGCAGGGGGAGAAGGGTTGGGGTCCCGTTTCCCATTATTTCCACCCATTTGGGGGGTTGGGGATGGCCTGGTGGCAGTTCTGGTGCTGGAGTGCCCTGGTTGAACTGCTCTGGGTGTCAGTGTGAGAATCAGGTTGGCTTTGGGGATGAGGACCAGGATGGGGCACACAGGAGCCCATCTATCCCCAAGCATCAAACCCAACCCCAGGGAGACCCTTTCCTGCATGGAGCTCTGGTGGGGAGTGGCATCACCCAGAAGTCTGGATGGCAGAGAGAGAGAGCATCCCCCTTTCCCTGACACCACGTTCCCATGGCAGGAATTCAGTGGCTCCTCCCCGAAACGGCGACGGGCGGAGGACAAGGACGAGGGGATCGGCTCTCCCGACATCTGGGAGGATGAGAAGGCCGAGGATCTGCGCCGGGAGATGATCGAGCTCCGGCAGCAGCTGGACAAGGAGCGCTCGGTCCGCATGATGCTGGAGGAGCAGGTGAGGCCAGGTGCCCTCTTGCAGCCTCTGCCATGTCCCCAGGGACCCCCAGGGACACCAGCAGTGCTGTGGGGTCACCAAACACCTGCTTTGGACACTGCTTCTCCGTGCTTGTCCAGGGCTTCCTGAGGGGACAGCCGGGGTTCAGTGGGGCCGTGCCGGACTCCCCACTGATGTTGGGGTTCCCTGACCCGCAGGTTCGCTCCCTGGAGGCCCATATGTACCCCGAGAAGCTGAAGGTGATTGCTCAGCAGGTGCAGCTCCAGCAGCAGCAGGAGCAGGTGAGGTTGCTGCACCAGGAGAAGCTCGAGCGCGAGCAGCAGATCCGAACCCAGGTGAGCGCAGCCCAGGCACCCCCAGGTACAGGAACAGGGGGTGGGTTCAGTGATGGATTTGGCACTTCCTGCAGGCACTGATCTCCCAGCAAAGCTCTTGCCTGTAGTGACTTGGGAAAGGGATGGCCCAAAGCCCCCCACAGTGCTTGGGGCTGAGCTTGTGGGCACCCTGAGTTTCAGGGAGGGGCTGTGGGTTGGTGCACCCGTGGTGGCTTCCAGGGCTCTGTTCCCTGGCACAGAGGGGTTTGTACAGGGGACGCCACTCTCTGCTAGAGAGAGTTTCATCTCAGGGGCTTCACCTTTCTCTGGATGGCTCCCACTGAATTTCAGGGATGCCCAAACCACTCCCTGCCACCCAGCAGGCTGGGAAAGGGGAGTGTCAAGCTGGCAGGCGGAGGGGATGGGAACCTTCAGCCTTTCCCCCAGGCCTGCTGGTGCAGGGAGGAGGCGAGCACTGTGCCAGCACCATCCCCTGTGCACTGCCGCCCTCAAGCCCAGCCTGGGGCCATGCCACTCTTGGAGCTTCAAAGGGAGGAGCAGCAGCTCCTTCCCTGCTCCTTGGGCTCCTGCAGAGCCGTGTCCCTGCAGGGTCCCCGCCGGCCGCCTCCCGGGGAAGTTCAGCCTATTTTTAGGTGAACTCTCCGTAGCCTCCTGCTGGGGCGGATCTTCCCATCCGCTGCTCCAGCAAGGATCTCCGAGGGGTGTGGGGAATTCCTGGCCACGCAGGGGCTGGCACTTGGCTCTCCCAGCTTCAAAGCCCAAATCATTGCCCTTTGGGATACGGGGAATCCTTCATGTTCCGCTCTGCAAAGCTGAGGTGACAGCAGCTTTCAGCTGGCATCCTCCTGCATCCTCTGGGATGGAGAACTGGAGCAGCAGAGTGCTGCTTCAGCTTTTATGGAGCTTGGGCTCTGTGAAGAAGCACGATGTTCTCCCCACACCGCCATGCCCTGCTCACTGAGGGTTTCCCTTCTGTCCCCAGCTCCTGCCATCACACGCTCCCCCAGCGCCCACCCACCACCCCACCGTGATCGTTCCAGCGCCGCCTCCCTCCCATCATGTCACCGTGGTCACCATGGGCCCCTCCTCGGTCATCAACACGGTCTCCACGTCCCGGCAAAACCTGGACACCATCGTTCAGGTCAGCAGGGGGCTTGGCAGCGGGGGGCTCAGGGGGGTCCCTAAGCCCAGGGTGGGTCAGAGGTGCCCTGACAGTCGCTGTGTGCCCCGGGCAGGCCATCCAGCACATCGAGGGCACGCAGGAGAAGCAGCTGCAGGAAGAGGAGCAGAGACGCGCCGTCATCGTAACGCCCGCGCGCGCCTGCCCCGAGCCCTCCGCCTCCGACACCGCCTCCGACACCGAGGGCAACGACAGTGACTCCATGGACCAGAGCAAAGAGGAGCCCTCGGGGGACGGGGAGCTGCCCTGACACCCCCCGGCCAGCAGCTGGGGAGGGAAGCCGGGGCAGGGGGGGGGAAACGTCAGAGAATATGCTGAAATTTTTAAAAAATACAACGTGATTTGGGTCTCTTTTATGACCTTTTTCCAATACTGTAAAGCAGAGCGTTAGAGGCAGGCAAAGGTCACCCTTCAGCTCCCAGGGGGGCGGGGGCTTGGGGGTGGCCACAGTGGGGTATGGGGGGCTCGGGGCATGGTGGGGGGCGTTGGGGATGGGGGGCACAGCCCCTCACCCTGGTTTGTCACCCCCCACCTGCCAACCCACAGGGAATCCTGCCAAGCTGGCAGCAGCCCCACTGTTCCTGATGGTGTTCCCTTGGGACAGGGCCTTTGGTTGGGGTCTTAATTTGCTTTTTTCCTTCTCTTGTGTTTTTGGTTTTTTTTTCCTTTTAATTAAATGTTTGTTTTTAAGCGGGGGGGAGATGCCAAGTGACATGGCAGCAAGGGCAGGACAGGGATCCCTGACTTCAGGGTACCACCATGGCTCCTGCACCCCACATGGGGCAGGGAAAACCCCCTTGGAGAGTAAAATAATCCTGGGATGATGCCATTGGAGCACGGTGGGAGGGCTGGCATATGCCATCCCTCCCTGGCATTTCCAACACCCACCTCCTTGGCACAGGGATGGCAGGTTGGGGGCTGATTTTTACACCCCGTCCCTGCACCTGTGCCCATTCCTGTCCCCCCACCCTGTTCCCATCCCTCCTTTAAGCACTTAACCTGGTTTGTGGGGTCTGTCAGCTCCGAAGAGCTTTTCTAGTTTGTGATTGTGTCGCTTGGGTCTGTCGTGGCGGGTGGGGGGTCCCTGTTTTGTGCGTCCCCCCCTCGCCCCACTGCTCCCCACCCGGCTGTAGGGTTTTAGGCCAGTTGTGTGTAGAGCCTCGGTGGTATTCAGTAGGTTCCCCCCAGCTGCAGCTGTTTCTCGGTTCCTTTCCCCTTTTGTTTTTTTTTTTTGGTTGGTTTTTTTTTTGTTTCTTTTTTTTTTTTTTTTTTTGTATTTTTTTTTACAATTTTCAGGTCTTTGTGTTGATTGAGAAGCTATTCTATTTTGTTAAGAAAGTTGAAAAAAAAAAAAGAGGCTCGTGCCTTTGTAAAGAAACAAAATAAAGTTTGTACTTGGTTTTTTAGAAGCTCCGTCCTGGCGTTGACGTTTGTGGGGACAGGGATGGATCCCAGCCCGATGGACACTGGTCCCTCTGGGGCTCCTGGGGAGGGCAGGGGGTGCTGCCTGCACTGGGAATCCCGGCAGGAGGCACAGGCAGAGGGTGCTGGCCCTGGTGCTGCCCCTGCTGTGGTTTTCAGGCTGTGTTTAAAGGCTCAGCCCTGCCAGTGCTGCCCACACGTGATGGGCACATCAGGGCTCAGCTCAGTGCTGAGGTGCAGGTGGGGACATCTGGGCTGCCTTTAATGAGGCCACACAGCTGAGGGGAGCTGGGGTCAGGCTTTGTGTCCCCCTTCCCCAGGGATGGGGTATCCATCTCTCCATGGAGCTGACTATGACTCGGGGTAGGGGCACTCATCTTTCTCCATGTGTTTTTTGGGGGGAGGCAGCCCTCTTTTCACATGGAGCACCTACCTCTCAGCATCCTCCCGTGGCTGTGGGTCCCTCCCACTGCCCCTCCACTCCATGGCCATCCGTGGTGTCCAGCCAAGGGCTGGCTCCTGCCTGCTCTGAGCCATCACCCCCTGCTCCACACCACTGCCCCTTCCCACCCCCCATCTCGGGTTCAGGGGCTCCCCTGCTCCCACTCTTGGGGAACTGTTGTTTGCCACCTTTCCTGAGAAAAGCTGGGTCACAGGCCCCCCAGAATGGCTCCTGCACTGAGGGAGCCCAAGGGCCACTGTGCCGTGGCCAGGCTCTGGGGACAGCACTGGGAGGCTGCTCTGTACGAGCAAGGGTGCCAGGTGCTGGTGACATTGTGCCCTGTGCCACGCTGCCAGTGCAGTGACAGTGGGGATACCTTCAGGGTGGCAGGAACATGCCTGTTTCCTTTGGGGTCTATGGCATTGCCTGGCGTTGGTGACCCGTGGTGGCTGGAGGGGACACCGAACCAGCCCAGGACACAGTGCTTGGGGACAGCCACCTTTGGGGACAGATGAGGACACTGCAGTGTGGTGGTGCTCAGCTCTCCCTGTCCACAAAGCCCAGAAGGAGCTGAGGCAGCCCAAGGAGCTCTGCTACCCCACACGAGCAGGATTCTGCATGGGGACGGTCCAGAGGAGCCCTGCAGGAATTTACCCAAATAAAGAGGAGAGGCACCCGCTTCTCCTCTCACTGGGAAGGGGCCCGAACAAGCAGTGCCATCCCCACGCCCGGAGGTGCCCCGTGCCCTGGCATCCCTGACAGGAGCCATTCCCAGCGCCGTGTCCCCTCGCTGTCCCCATGGCCAGGGCCCCTGGGAGCGGAAGAGCGGCGGCAGCAGCATCTGTGCGGGCAGCTGCCGGCCCTGCCCCGCGCCGCCCGTATAAATAGAGGCAGCGAGCGGCAGGGAGCTCCTGGCAGCCACCATGAAGGGCCTCAACCTGCTCTGCTGCTGCGTGGCCTCGCTGCTGCTCCTCGGCACCGCAGGTACGGCCACACACCGGGCTGGGGCACCCCGGGGGCTGGGGGTGCCCGAGGGCTGGGGGGCTGGCAGGGTTATGGGGTCCCCGTGGGGCTGGGAGTGCCCTTGGGGCTGTGGGGACTCTGTGGGTGCCTCTGGGTGCCTGGGCTTACGGGGTCCCCGTGGGGCTGGGGGTGCCCTTGGGGCTGTGGTAACCCCTCAGGGTTGGCAGGTCCCTATGGGGCTGGGGGTCCCCACAGAGCTGGGTGTCCCCATGGGGCTGCGGGTGCCTGTGGGGCTGTGGGGTCCTGCAGGGCTGTGGGAACCCCAAGGGGCTGTGGGGTCCCTGTAGGGCTGCAGGTGCCCATGGGGCCGTGGGTGTCCAGGGGCTGTAGGTGCCTGTGGGGCAGGGGGTGCCTGTGGGGCTGTGAGCACCTCTGGGACTCTGGGTGCCTGTAGGGCTGTAGGTGCCTGTGGGTCTGTGGAGTCTGTGGGGGTCCTGTTGGGTTGCAGACAGAATTGTGGGTGCCTGTGGGACTGAGAGAGGCTCTGGGGCGCCCAGCGAGCCCGACCTGGAGCAGGACAGGGTGGCAGGGGCACAGCGGGCCGGGCTCCCCGGCAGCTTTTCCAAGGCCGCAGAGCCACCCTAAAACGTGCAGGGAAACGTGTTGGGGGGCTGTGGGGAGGAGGGGAAGGCGGGAGGTGCAGATTGGGGTCTCTGTTACAGAGCCACGCTGGGCACAGGGGCCGCGCTGCCGCTGCCATGCCTTGAGGCAGTGTCACCTGTGGCTGCCGTAGTGGTTGATTTGGGACTGTGAGGGGGTTGGGGGTCTCTGAGGACCCCGATCCCCCTCCCCGGGCTGTGCCATCCCCGCTCCTCACGGCGCTGCCCGGCCGGGTGTCCCCGGGGCGGCGCGGCATCGCTGGTACCCTTGCTTGCCCTTGAGTTAATTTGGGCTGGTTCTGTGCCTGGCCGCGCTCCGGCGGCCGCGCAGCCGGGAGCGGGGCTGCTAAGAATGGAAACAGCCGTGTAAGGGGACACTGAGCCCGGCACCCCCCCGGGCACCGCCGCGGCCCCGCGCGGGCACCGCAGCTGCCGCTGCCAGCGCCCGGCACCCCCGGCCCCGCCGAGTTTTGGCCTTTTAAGGGCATCTTGGGCCCTTCTCGGCAATGAATGGGTTTGGGGGCCGGCGACACACCCCGACAGAGGTGGGGTGACCTCCGTGGGGCCGCGGGTGCAGTGTGTGCAGGGGGGTTGGGAAGGTGTTCTGTGGGCATGGATGGTGGCTGGTGCCGCTCCAAGCGGGGCTGCTGGCCTGGTGGGACATCAGGAGCTTGTCTCCATGGTGGGTGACCACCAGCCCATGTCTGGGTTTGGCTGAGGCTGGCATGACACAGCACTGGGATACCCCATCCCAAAGGAGGCTCTGGGGCCAGGAAGCACATGGGGGTCTGGCAGCCCCAGGACCAGCTCTGAGGGGTCCCCCAAGTTTATTGGGGGTTTATTGAGGGTCACCTGTTTATTGAGGGTCACATATTTCACGCCAGTGCTGTAGGTTTCCAAAAAAGCTCTAAGCACTGGCATGTCTCCTGCCTATGCTTCTGCTCCTCAGAGAGCAGTGGGATTTGCAGGATGAGTTCTGCTTTTCCTTTGGCACCAAGCTGAACTCTCAGACCCGGCTCCTTTGGGGTGAAGGAAGTGGTTTGGAGGGGATTTTTTTCCATTTTTGGGACAACTTTTCCCATTCAATCCCTGTTGGTGCCTGTGGGGATCCCACAGGGCTGTGGGGCTGCAGGTGCCCATGGGAAGAGAAGGGGTGAAAGTCCAGTGGAGAACCAGGGGCTTTGTTGGAACATCACAGCAAGGTGTGGTCCCTTGGGTTAAGTGGCACCTGGGGCTGCCAGGACCCTGCCACCATTCCCAGAGGCTGGCGTGGGTATTGCCCTGTGCCTGTGCCCTTACAGCCCCCACTGAGGCAGCTCATTGCACACGTGGCTGGGGCTGGCAAAGCTCCCCGGGGTTGCTGGAGCCTGGCAGGGACCAGCACCCACCCATGTGGGCATGTGGGGCTGGGCAGTGGCTCATGGTGAGGGCAGTCACCCAATTCACCATCTGCTCCTGCCCTCAGGCAGAGCCCAGCCCAGCCATCCCTTCCAGGCTGGGTGGCCCCTGTGGCCACCAGCAATGGGCCACAGCGCAGTGCCCACACACTTTGCCCTGGGCATCCCTTGGCTCTGCAGCCACCATGGGTTTGAGTGGGAGGGCAATTCCAGGCTGTGCCATCACCACCTCTGAGCTGAGAGAGGACTTGGGGAAAGCCCTGGCACAGTGGTGTCCTCCTGCAAGGCACTGCAGGGCTGGCACAGACCCCTCCTGGTGACAGCAGAGGGGTCTGTGCCAGCCTCAGCTCCTGGGAGTCCCTGTCCTGCCTCATCCTGGAAGGTGTCACCTCAGGGTGAGCTCCAGCACCACCTTCTCGTGGCATCCTGGGGTGTTCTCCACCACCTTGGAATGTGTCACTTTAGGGTGGGCTCCACCTCCCAGGCCAGAACATTTTGGGAGCAGGACTGTGACACCTTGTGTGGGCTCAGGGCCCTGGGCACAGCAGCCATGGGGACACCTCACCCTGACCATCCCAGGCCAATGGCCCCACAGTAACCAACCTGCCCAGAGTGGGCACCTCTGTGTCCCAGGGACTCCTCTCTGGACTTGTTCCCCCCTCCAGCACCAGCACAGCCATGGGCAGCGCTGCAATGGGTGTGTGTGAGAAAGGGGCTTGAGGTGCTTCGGGTGTGCTGGGTGCTTGTGCCACCTACATCCCTGTCACACCCCTGGAGCCTCACCCCAAGGAGACCCTGATCCCTGTGGGTGCCCATCTTACTCCCAAGGTGTTGGCTGAGCAGAGCAAGGCAGATGCCAGGCAGGTTGGCTCTGCTGTGGCACCCTCTCCATCTGCCATCCTTGTCCCAGTGTGTAGGTGACGTCCAGCAGGGCAGGAAGGCCAGGAGACCTGGGGTGGCACCAGGCTGGGAGGGCCGTGCCATGCCCAAGGACAGCACTCCTGCCATGTTCCCCTGTGTCCCACTCGCCAAGCTGGTGAAACCCCAGCCTGGCCACTGGATCAGGGTGACCAGATGGCTTCTGGAATTGCTGTTCTCCGAGCTCTGCAGGAATAGCAGCAGCCCGGGGCTGTGCAGGGCTCCACGGAGCTATTTCCAGCTCATGGGGACATTTCCCTTGTCAGTGCCTGCTGGAGGGAGCCCTGAGCTCTGTGCTGGTGGGGGCTGCAGGGGGGGCTTGGACAGGCACCCCGAGCCAGGATGGGGTGCTGGCAGTGCCAGCATGGCCTTGGTGCCAGTTGGGCACCCTTGGGGTCACACAGCTCTGGGTACACTGCAGAAAAGGGCTCGGAGCTGTGTGGCCCTGTCCATGTGCTGGTGTCACCACGTGCTGGTGTCCCCAGTGCTGTCACTGCCAGGGCTGGCACCCCCACTCAGCATGGCCAGGCAGGGTCTGCCCCCTCATTCCCCTCGGTTTGGGGATCTTGTGGGACATCAGGCATTAGAATCCAGGCTGGCAAGTCCAAGGAATGCTTGGGATGACCCAAGGAGGGATGGGGAGCCAGGAGGTCTGGCCTTGAGTGGACAGATGTCCCTCAGGGGACAGCCCTAGGGTGGATTGGTGAAGCCTCCCATGGCTGGAGGCCAGGAGCAGTGAAAGCTCTTGGACACCCCTCCTTTGGAAGAAGGAGCCCTTCCAGCCCCAGCCATGCCCAGCAGGTCCCTTGGGTCCCCCAGCACTGCCCCAAGCTGCAAGGGACACCACAGGTGGATGTTCCTCGATGTACAGAGTGACATCTGCCTGTGCCAAAATACCTGATGTGTCCTGGCCCTCTGCTCACTGATGGACCCAGATCTCCTCAGGCAGGAAGCAGCAGGTGCTTCATCTCCCACCTTCCTCATCTTCGTGTCTTCTGCAAGGCAGGGTTCAGGGTCCCTTACAGACCTTGAGGGTGGGCAGACAGTGCAAGAAACACCCTGCAGCAGTGATTCCCTATTTTAATCTCTATTCAGAAAGCTCCAAGTCTGGTTTTAATCCATTTGGTAGCTCCTGGTGATGTTTCTTTACCATATATTAATAAAAATATAATATTGTTCTATTCAACCATTTACAGACATCAAATCACTTCATAACTTTTTTAAACTAAACTTAAATTTTTTATGTACAGATGAGGTCAAGTTAGTTTGACAAAAGTGTTTCCTGCACTTCCTTCTGCATTGAAAACCCGGAATATATTCGCTTTATGCTGGATTTTTGGGATCATGAAGCTTCTGGGATGTGATGATGTGTCTGGGCATCCTGGGTTTTGGGGTGCACAAAGGTCTGGGGAGCCAACCCCATCCTCAGCCCCATCCTTGTGCTTGTGTCCTCTGGGCTGCTTGAACCCTCACGGGACACTTCCCTTTGGAGGTGTTGGCTCCAAGTGGAGCTGGGGCTGGGCTCCCCCTGCTCTGAGGGCTGGGCTGGAGGAGCCCTGGGGAGATGGCCCTGAGCAAGAGGGAAGAGCCTGGAGAGAAGGGACATCACCCTCAAAAGGGGTCTCACAGGAAAGGAGGGGTCTGCACCAGGTCCAGCTGGAAAATCCAGGAACTCCCTGACAGCTTCTTTGTGTCCAGTCAGTGTCCACGAGGTTTTAATGGGCTTTGCCAAAACAAAGGCAGGGTTGGGTATTTGGGATACAAAGTCCCACCAAGACCCCCCCGGGAGGACACGGGGAGCACAGGACTTGCAGGAGCCAGTGGATAAACCCCCAGGGAAGCAGGGATGGGGAGCCGGGCAGGGCAGGGGGCGTGTGAAAAGCCATCCCCGCAGCCCTGCCATCGCCGGCCCCACGCTCACGGCTCCGGTTTCTGCTGGAGGGGGAGAGAGTCCCTCCAGGGCCACCTGTGCCCATCTGTCCCTTCTCCCCGTCCTCCTGGAGGACCCGTTTTGCCGTCAGGTCGCTGCTGTTCCGTTCGATGCCGCGCAGGGATGGAGGGGACGCCGCGATGTTCAGCCATCCCCTCCTTCCCCACAGGCTGGTCCGGGTGCAAACCCGCCTCGGCACCCTGTGCCACCCAGAACCGTGCCCTGGGCTCTCCATCCCCGCTGTCACCCCCTAAAAAAGTGTCCCCTGGCAGCTCATAACACTCCCAGCACGAGAAAGGGGCGGCAGGGGCAATTCAAGCCTCACAGAGAGGTCAAGTCCCCGAGGGGAAGAGGGCGAGGTCTCCTCTCCGATGCCACCCATCTGCTTGGCACAATGCAAGGTGCGAACACGGGGAGCCCCGGTGTCATTTGACACCCACGGGGGCCCCCAGGTGGGGACGTCACCCGGGGCTGGCCGCGGGGGCTGCTCCTCCCGGTGCCCCGGGGCCCCGTACAGTTGCCTTGCTGTATTTTTAGCCTGCCGAGGGTGTTAAGCCCGTAACCTTCGGCCCATTTTGCACTCATCGGGCCACCATGTGCAGGTCAGCACAATTCACCCTGGATCGGGCGGCCATGTAGGGGAAACAGGGAGAAGGAGGTGGAGAGGGGACAGGGACTTTCTGTCAGAGCTTGAAGGTCACAGGAAATGAAGCCCGTGAGCAGCACGGGGCAGGGACATCCCCATCTGAGCCCTGGGGGATATTTCCCTTTTTCCTCGAGGGATGGCTCGTGGTGGGCACTGGCGCTGCTGTTGTGCCAGGCCATGGTGGGTGATGGGTCAGAGGGGGCACACAGAGCCCAGACAAAGCCCTGAGGACTCTCAGGGTCTCCTCTGCCTGGTCCTGCCCTCCTCCTCTGCTTTGACCATCACTCCTCTCCCAGCTCTCCAGGTCACCAGCTATTTTGGGGCCAAACTGAGAATATCCCATCAGCTGAGGGGACCCTCTAATGACTCAGGCTGGTTCCCAGGCCACCAGGGCCAGGCAGGGCCATGTTGGACCCAGCCACTCAGGGCTTGCAGGTCAAAGATAGATATCTCCATTCAAGAGGCTCCTGCAGGGTCCCAGGGGTCCTCAGGAAGGTGACCTGAAGGAGCAGGGTGGAAGGGAGGGGTGTGGGGGTTGCCCACAGCCATCTCCCTCCATCTGGGAGCTGAGCTGGGCACCAGCAGAGGACAGGGAGGTCAGCGAGGCCAGAGCAAGGGTGACCTGTGCATCCAGTTTGGGCAGGGTGAGGAGCTGTGGGAGCTGTGGCAGCGGCTGCAGCTCTGCTGTGCCAGGGAACCAAGAGCCGCAGGCAATGAGGGCAGGCTGGGGGCAGCCTGTCCTTGCCAGTGCCCGCTGCTGGCATGGCACGAGCCTCCCAATGTGACCTGACCCCAGCTCACAGCCATGGAGGTAAAACCATCCCCTGGCATCCCCAGGGCAAACTGGGCTGAGGGGTCCCACACTGACCCCAGCCCAGCTCCTCCTGTGCTCAGCCCTGTGGCCAAGCCCAGTGAGCTCCAATTTTGGCAAAATCCTGCTGGACACAGTCCTGTGGTTCCTGCATGGACATGGAGCAGGAGCCAGAGCACAGGACTGGCCATGCCCCTCGCCTCCTGCAGCCTGGATAGAGGTGGCCTTTTTCCCTGCTTGGCTCCTGCTTGCCAGCTGGAGTACAAAGGAATTATTTTCCTCTGAAACGCTCCCCTGGCATGAGACGTTTGGGGGGATTATTTAGACTAGCAGCAACTGTTTGTAACAGAGACAGTATAGCCGTGATCTTTTATTTTTGGCACCCGCTGACTGATGTTAAATTGCAGTTGGAGCCTATGGAAAATACGGATGGATTCTCCAGGGCCACAGAGCACACTCATTGTGTCCCCAGCAGCAGCACGGCGTGGCACATGCTTTCCTAGTGAAGGGACACTTACAATAAATAGCTCCTCAGCCCCGTGGCCAGGGTTAGGCAGATTCCCATGCTGGGCAGCCCCTCATGCCAGGAAGCCCCTTCCTCCTCCTCCTCCCCCTCACTTCACCGCCCACCTTGGCTGGTGTGATGTTCTCTGGAGTCAGGACTGGGGAAGGACCCTTTTAACCTGCCAAGCCCCTCAAAATTTGCCATTTTTACTCCTTTCCCCATCTTTAGGGCAGCTTTGCCACCTTCCTGCAGCGCTTTGGGGTGGGCAGCCCCGGTGCCAGGCAGCCAGGGCTGGTGGAGCCATAGAGCCCCTGCCAGCTCCGCTTTGTCCCCACAAACATCTTTGCACCCAACTTCTTGTGACAGGGACAGAAAATTGAGCTGGAGCAGGCTTAGGGAAGAGTTGAAACCTCTTGGTAGCAGCCACAGCTCAGGGCCCTGGCAGGTGGGGGACTGACTGAGCTGTTCTCATCGTTTAGAGCCGCGCGCCCCCGGCACGGGCCATGGGGATGGTGCTGCCCAGAGCCCCCCGCCCGGCACGGAGCCCCCGCTGCAGGACAAGGCACACGATGGCAGCCCCGAGGAGGAGCAAGACAGTGGCACTGCCAGTGCCTCCGTGCCTGGTGTCACCGAGGAGGGACACGGAGAGGGGGAGGAAGAGCCGGCGGGCGGCCTGAGGAGGGGCCTGGGGCCAGGGGACAGCCAGACAGAGGAGAGCAGCAAGGAGCAGGGCCAGGAAGAACAGAGCTCAGGGGAGGAATCTGTGGCAGCTCATCGTGGAGGGAACCATGGACCTGGCACACAAGAGGACATCCATGCCCAGGAGGATGAGGAGCCCGGCACAGAGAAAGGAGGCTCTGAGGAGGAAGGGCAGCCAGGGGAAGAGCAAACAGAGGAGCCAAGAGAAGCATCTGCTCCTGAGGGAGAGGAGGAAAGGGATGAGCAGAGCTCAGAGGACGATGATGAGCAAGGAGAGTCTGAGGAAGGTGAACACGAGGAGTCTGAGGTAGATGGAGACAAGGAAGAGTCTGAAGAGGGAGAGTCTGAGGAGAAAGAATCTGACGAAGATGGCGACAGGCCAGAGAATGAATCTGGAGAGAATGACAAGGAAGAAGCTGACACTTCCAACAAAAAGAACCACAGCAAACCAGCAGCTGCTGGCACAGGAGAAGCCAGGGATGGCCCTGCCAGCTGCCATCACCCACCCTGTGGGGATGCAGCAGAAGACCCACCAGCAGCAGAAGACCCACCAGCAGCAGTGGAAAACACACCAATGGTGGAAGATCCACCAGCAAAAGAAGACCCACCAGTAACAGAAGACCCACCAACAGCAGAGGAAGACCCTCCAGCAGCAGCAGACCCCCCTGCAGTGGCAGAAAACCCCCCAGCAGCAGCAGCAGCAGACCCCCCTGCAGACCAGACCCCACTGGCAGGAACAGAGGGCCCCAGCACCACCGAGACCCAGCACAGCCAGATAGGTTGGAGTCTTTTCTTGTGGGTGTGCTGTGGCAGCAGGAGTGACCTCCCATCAACCCGGCGGAGCTGAGCTTGGCACGTTAAACCTGCCCTAGTGCATGGCCCTCTCCTAACGCTTCTGCTTCCCCGCCTGCCCTAACAGCGCCCGGCGTGGGCAGCGAGGATGCCCAACACGCGGGCACTCATCGCAGCGGTGCCAGCACTGACTGATGCTCCCCTCTCGCCACTCCAAGTCCATGATTTCTCCTCAGGGATGTGGACATGGATTAAGTGTTTAACCTCCAGGCCCCTTTCAGCATTCGCAGATCTCTTAAAGACTCTTTATCCATCACCCAGGCCCTTGGCTTGTGCAGGGGCAGGATGCTTCTGGGATTGTGGAGCTCCCAGGATTGTGGGGCTCATCTCCACCAGTTCTTGGCTCGTAGGGAAGGTGTGAAGAACTAATCCAGGCCAATGAGCTGCTGAGGCACCAGCCCTGCTCAATCAGTGAAAGGCTAACTAGGGGAAAGGGACACCCTCCACCACAATTTCCTAGAATTATTTGTAGACTTTGGCCCACAGGTTGGGCAGCGACCTTTGGACCCAGATTAGTATTTTTGTTGTTTTCATCTGTAATGTCCCAGCTCAAAAAGCCTCCCATTTTACCCAAAAGACAAATCCAGTTTGGTCTCTGTGTCTTCACTTGGCAGGTCAAAAGGTTTTCCTCAGCCCAACACTCAGTAGATGCTCAACACAGTCTCAGGGCTTAGTGGCGCCCTGCTTGATCCTGCTGTCCCCAAACCCCTGCTACAGTCCAACCCCAAAAAGCTCCTGGAAGTTCCTGGTGTGCCAGCACCTCCATGGCAAGGCCACCATTGTTTCCCTGTTTTGGGGGCAGGGGGGTGCCTTCCCCAGTGGAGGCAGCTGCCTCATGCTGCTCATGCCTGGCACGGAGCCATGAGGGACAGGGCGCTGTGCAGAGGGCAGGGGAACACGGGGACAGAGGTGGGAGAGCTGGGAGGGAACAGCCCCACTGGCAAGGGTGGGCCAGGCTGGCCTGTCCCCCAAGAGCCACGGGCAGCCCCAGCCTGGGACCCCACGTCTCCAGCCGACCCTGCAGGTTTCTGGGGGAGTGGGCAGCACCCAGCCTGCAGCCGGGGCCGAGCCCATGGAGCCGCAGCTGCCGGGGGAAGCACCAGGGCCCCGCTGGGCAGCAGCTGCTGCATGCTCGTGCTACATCCCAGCCCCGGGAGCCCCTTCCAGGCACATCCTTCGCATTCCCCACGAGCAGCCAGCCCCTCCTCGGAGCCAAGCAGTTGCCCATGACGCTTCCCCCAGCAGGCAGAGCCCTGGCAGCCTCCAGGAGCCTGTGCTAAAGGGAGAGCGCGGGGCATCCCGACAGTGGCTGCCGTGGGCATGGCGTGCCCGCAGGCTCGGGGTGTGTGTGCTCCCCGTGCCCTCTCCCTGGCAGTCGCTTGTGTGAGCTCCTGGGTGGGTTCCCACTCCAGCAGTAACAGGTCTCCTTGTTTTCTCCTCCAGAAGAGGTTGAAGATGCCAGCGAGCCGACCAAGCGCGACCGGTCCCACTTGGAGAACACCCTGAAGCTCAATGAGGAGAAACCTGCCGATGATGTCTCAGGTGAGGAGGCCGCGCATGCCCTGCACTAAGGCCATGGACAGGATTTTCCTTCTCTTGCGTTTTGATTTTAACCTTGCTTCTTGTAGGTCTAGTAATGCCAGATCTTCATTAACAGCCCTTTGGCTGCTCTTGGGTTAACATATTTTAGGTATTTTAAGGACATCACTGAGGGCATACAAGAATTAGGAGGGTATGGAAGCTGGAAGATGCAGACAGTGAATCAGGCACATCCCTGCTCAAAGAAACCTGGAGCAACTTGTGACAAAGGGTTGGGATTTTTATTCCAATTATATACTGGGTTTTGCTGCTCTAAGGGTTGCTTCTGCTGGCCCCACTGGCAGTTTGGGCTGGAAAGGCAGTGATAAGAGATACTGCGGAGAAAGCTCCTCCTCTTTTCTAACAAGCAGCTCTGGGGCCATGCCAGGGGGCCCTGGCACCATGGTGGAGGGCTTTTTGGGACTGTGGGTGTTGAGTGCTAAACAGCACTGAGGAAAGGTGCTCCTCCCATCAGCTGCTGGGAGCAGATGGGGACAGTGCCCAGTGGGAAACATTAGCAGGGGAGAAGCATCAAAATCCTAGAACAGTTTGGGTTGGGAGAGATGGTGAAGACCATCTCATCCCACCCTTCTGCCATGAGTAGGACATTTTCCACAGACCAGGCTGCTCCCAGCCCCGTCCAACCTGGCCTTGGACACTTCCAGGGATTCAGGGGCAGCCACAACTCCTCTGGGCAAAATGTGTGGCTGGGATCAGTTTGGCCAATATTTCAGCTGTAAGCCAAGTCCCTTGATCCATGACTGGGCCACTCTTGGGACCTGCATGGCCCCAGGAGGGTCTCACCCAGCCTGGTGGGGCTTGCCTCTCACCTGCCCCCATGCTTTGCCCCCCAGGAGTATTGCAGCGGCTGAGGAAGATCTACCACTCCTCCATCAAGCCCCTGGAGCACTCCTACAGATACAACGAGCTGAGGCAGCACGAGATCACAGGTAATGCCACGGGCACTGGGGTCTCCAGCACCAGCAGGTCCTTGGGATGCAGATAACAGCACAGAGAGCAGACCATGGGCAGATAACAGCACAGAGAGCAGATCATGGCAGCCTTGGACTGTGTGTCGTCCTTTGCAGCTTCCCAGGGAGTCCATGAACACGCTGGGCTTAGAGGCCATGCCCTAGTGAACCCAGCAGCAGGAATTCCTGCCTCTGCCTCAGCCCATCTGCTGTCAGGGCCATCTGTGTGGGCTGAGCACTGAGCCCTGCCTGCCTCGGGTCTCCCACCTGCTCAGCATCAATGCCCTGTACCCCTGCCAAGCAGAGATCATGGCCCAATGAAACAGGCTTGGCAAGGAAGCTCAGGACCTCTCAAGGCTGGGGATGAGCTTCCTGGGGGTGGCAGGAGCTGGCATCCTTCCTGCTGGGTACAGGACACAGCCATGTGGGCAGGGTGTTCCTCAAGCTCTACAGCCTTCACTCATGCTGAGAGTTGGAGTTTCCAGCCCTTGGCAATCTCAGACACAATGGATGGGGTGAGCAGGTCCCTGTGGCCCCTGGCATGGTGTGGGCTGAGCCAGGTCACACATGTGTCCCTCCACAAGAGGAAAGTGCAACCCTGTCCCAAGATGCTCACAAGATACAGGATGTTCTTGTGACCCAAGAAACACCAGAAGCCTCATTTTCCAAGCACAGATGGCTCAAACCCAAGTCTGATTTCCTTGTTCACTGCAATAATTCTCCTCTGAGTATCTATTCAAGCACAGGAGCCAGGGCCAGCTCTCTCCTGAGTATCCAGGGGCTGCTGGAGTCCCTGCTGCCAGCGTCTCAGGACTTTGTGCCCATGTCACCCTCCTGCCAAGGCCCTGAAGTTGTCCTCCTTGTCCTGCAGCTCTGCCTGCCTCCCCAGGTGTCCAGGCCCATCCTCCTGGAGCCATGCCCTCCCTTCTGTTGAGGCAGGACTGGGATGCACTCTGGGATGCACCCTCTCCACAGATCTTTCTTTTACAGCTGGCCTTGCTCCACCAGCACACAGGTGCTGTGAGGTCACACCAGGTGCCCTCACTCAGCTGGGGCACATCCCTGTGGAGCAGAACTCTGGCTTTCCAGGCATCCTTCCTGCTTTCCAGGCATCCCTCCTGCAACTCCTGAGTCTGGGTCAGACATTGTCTAAGCAGGCTTGGACATCTCCCTACCCAGCCAGGCCATCTCCAGCATACAGGCAGTGAGGAACACAGGGAAGTTACCCTGTGGGAGGGTAATTGAGGTTCACAACATGTCCTGATTGTCACCCCACGTCTGCTGGCCTGTCCCCTGGCAACACCCCAACTTCTTCTCCAAGCTGCTCTGGTCTGTGGTGTTTTCTGTCAGTTCAGCCTGGGACACAGTTCAGGAGGATGTTTGGGGTTACAGGGGCAGCTGGTGGGCTCTAACCCCCCTTTGCTGTTCACAGGCAGAGGATGCAGCCCCCAGCCACAATTTCCAGCCCTCAGGATGCCCTACCCTACCCTTAATCCATCCCATGCCCAAGCAGCCATTTCCCTGCTCCCCTTTTGTGAGGAAACAGGTGTTTAAGTGTTCCCCAGGCTGCTGCTGGCGTTCTCAGCTGCTGAGGTTCACCATTGACCCTGGTGTTTTCCCAGCCTCTCTCAAATCCAGCTCCTGAGCAGGACTCACCTTGGACAGCAGGTCCTGGTGTTCCTCCTGGCCTCCCCTCAACACTCCATGATCTGTCCCACCTCACTGTGAGGAGCAGCCACCCCTCAGGATGACAGTCCCCAGGTCAGGTCCCAGCACACCCTGCTGTGTCCTACAGGGCACCCTCACAGTGCTGTGACCCTGCAGCTGGTGACCCACAGGGAAGGGCACAGGGATGCTGCACTGCCTCCAGTCCTTGTCTCAGCTGTGAGACACCCTGGCCATGCTCCCCTCCAAAAAATTTGTACGGACACCAAACTTCTTGAATGATCTGTGACAGCCCAGCCATATCCTGGCACGCACAGCCCTCTCTAGAAACCTCCAGCTCAGCAGTTTGCCTTTCATACCCACAGATCCAGCCTTCCCCAGCCCTCATTAGCAGTGTAATCAGAGAAACCTGCACATTAGTTACAGGGTTGGCCCAGGGAACTCTCTTGACCTTGGAGGGCAGGTGAGGACACGGTGGAGCTCAGGGAGCCTTCTCAACACTTTCTCTGCACAGTGCCCGTGTCCTGAGCGGGTTCATCCCATCAGTGCTGTCCCTGCAGGCTGGGAGGCGCTCCCAGCTCCCCCTGTGCCCCCTCTCCGTGGTGGGGGGAGGCTGGAGGGCACAGAGCTGCCGGCTCAGCTGGCTGGCAGGAGCAGGACAGCTGGGGGAGCTTTGGGGCAGGCCTGTCATGGAATATGTGTGACCTTTGGAGGTGTAAACCAATATAGAGGGGTGCCATGGCAAGCACCCTGGCCCCTCCATTACGTGGCAGCCTTCCATTTTGTCTCCCTTCCCATCAGCTCCTCTCACTGCAGTGTAATCCAAAGAGCTCCTCTGCTCCCCACAACGTGTGAGAACTCCCATGGAGTCCTGTGGGAGCTGTGGCTGTCACCATCAATTCTGACTTGTCAGGGTGCATCTCAGAAAGCTCCCACACACCCTCTGCTTCAGCCTGGCAGATGCCATTTCCTTCTCCCTGCCTGCCACCCTCCCGCCTCCCTGCTCTGCCATCCCACGTGGATGCAGACGTGCTCTGCCTGGGTCCAACTCCGTGCTTGGAGGGACTATACCTAGCTGAGGGTGAGGCATTCTCCCAGTCCAGCCATGGAAAGCTTGCTGTGAGGTCACACCGGGTGTTGGTGCATGCTGGTGACCTTAATTACTGATGTATGCTAATTAGCAAGTGTCCCTGTGTAGAGAACGACCTCCCAGATGCCATCACCAGCCACAGGGGCTGGGCCCGGGTGACCCTGTCACTGGGGTTGTCAGGACATTGCTGGGTCGGTGGCTGTCTAACCCTGGCTTGCTGGGCTCCGTGTGCTCGGTGGGTGATGCCAGGGAAGGCACCAACCCCGCAGAGCAGGAGCTGGGGATGCAAAACCACATCCCCGCCCCGCAGGGCAGACAGGGGTTCAGTGCTTGTCCTGGGAGCTGCAGGCTGCTCCCAGGCTGTAACTCCTCGTCTCCTGCTGGGAATGTGGCCATCGGTTCCCTCCTTGTCCTGGAGCACTCCCGGGCTGTCGCATCCCTCCTCGGACTCACGGTTCCTTTTCTCTCTCCCCGTGTCCCTCGCTAACAGCTTACCCCGGACGCACCCTGGGCTCCTCGGCCACAGGTTGGTATCGCCGCCTGCTCCCTGCATGCTGCCGGCACTGCCTCCGCCTTGCATCCGCTCTCCGGCTTCCCCGGGCTCCTGGGGAATGCCCGGGCACCGATCGGGGCACTGCTCTGCTCTGCGCTGCCCCCCGGCTTCCCCGGGCTCCTGGGGAATGAATGCCCAGGCATAGAGCAGGGTCATACCCGCCATCCCCACCAGGACAGTGTCCCCAGCCCCTCCAGAGCCCCCACTTGTCCCAGCCTGACTGTGCATCCCGACAGCGCCCTTCCCTCCAATCTGCACCTCGCCCAGGCTCTGAAACCTTTCCCTCTTGGTTTAAGATTAAGAGGCAGAATATTCCTCAGGCCAGCATTCAAAGGTGTTTCTGGTAGCCCTGTGAGAGGGAGACGAGACTCCCTTTCTCAGTCTGGAGAAAGGGAGGCTCAGGAGGGACCTTCTCATTCTCAGCGCTCTGACAGGAAGGTGGAGCCAGGTAGGGACCGTCCCAGGGAACAAGGGACATGACAAGAAGAAATAGCCTCAAATTTCACCTGAGGAAGCTTGGAAATATTGGGAAAATTTCTTCAGAGAAAGGGCTGTCAGACCCTGGCACAGCTGCTCAGGGCAGTGGTGGGGGTCCCTAATCCTGGGGGGATTTAAAAGCCCTCTGGATATGGCACTTGGGGACGTGAGTTAGCGGTGACCTTGGCAGTGCTGCAGGAACATTTAGAATTGGTCATCTTAGAAGGTTTTTCCAACCCAAAGTATTTCATGATTGTATGTGTTGGACCTTTAGGTTGATCCCTCACCCACAGCAAGAACTGGAGGAGCCCAGATGATAGCTCGTCCTATAGAGGGGATCTCTTCCCACCCTTCACCCTCCTACGTGAGAAACTTTCCTGAATGTCCACCCCTGATCCCACAGCAGCTGTCCCAGTAACACGGGCTGGCCCCTGCCCAGCTGAAGCCCAGGCTGGCTCCTCTCCCTGCCTATCCTGCTCAGGGTGTGCTGCCAGGTCCCCCAGGAGGATCAGGAGATGGGACACAGTCCAAGAAATGCCAGCCAACACCCAGCCCTTCCCCTGGGCCTGGTGCTCAGCCACGGGAACAATGTTCCCGCAGGGAAATCCCATCTCGTGTCCCTGCTGTCCTGCCCACGGCCACGCTGCCCCAGCCAGCCAAGCCAGGCTCCTTTGGGCACGGCCACACGGAGCCCTGCCAGTGCCTGGAGAGCCCCTGGCTCCCTGCAGTGCCAGTGTGGCAGCAGTGCAGAGGGCTGGGGCTATTTATAGCATATTCCGATAGCTGCCTTATCTCATCTCGGGCTCAGGCGCTCGCACGCGTGCTGCCAGGGTGGGCACAGCCTGGGGGCACACGGGGAGGCACAGGCTGCCTCAGCCACGTGGGATGGGCCCTCTGGCTGTGGGCACACGTGTTGTCAGGGTGCTTGTGGATTTGGAAGCTTTGGGAGCAAGGAGTGCCCTCCAAGGGCTGCTGGATCCGTGCCATGGGCACATGGCCGGTGGTGTTTGTGGCACAGGGTGGGACAGAAGTGTGGGTGATGCTGGGAGTGTCCCCCCTTTGAGGACAAAGAAGAGCTTGGTGCCTGTGGCTCAGTAGGAACCAGGAGAGGAAGGAGGTTTTGCTGGGTCCTCTGCTTTGCTCAGCATCCTCAGGACAGACTTGCACTTGAGGGAGAGGCCACACCAGGCACATCTACTGGGCTTGAGGACAAGGGGAGACAAAGCCTTGCCCAGGATTAATCATAGAATTATGGAATGATTTGGGTTGGAAAGGACCTTAAAGCCCACCCAGTTCCACCCCCTGCCATGGACAGGGACACATTCCACTTTTCCAGGCTGCTCTAAGACCCATCCAGCCTGGCCTTGGACACTTCCAGGGATCCAGGGGCAGCCACAGCTGCTCTGGGCACCCTAAGCCAGGGCCTCCCCACCCTCACAGGGAAGAATTTCTTCCTAAATCCCATTGAACCCTGCCCTTTCTCAGTGTGAGGCCATTTCCCTGTGCCTTGTCACCCTAGACCCTCATCCAAAGTCTCTCCAGCTCTCTTGGATCTCCTTTAGCCACTGGAAGGGGCTCTAAGTTCTCCCTAGAACTGTCTCTTCTCCATCCCAGAGCAGCAGTGCTTCCAACCAAGGGCAGCCTGGCACTGCCACACGGGAAAACCTCACAGAAAGCCACTGCTCTAGGAAAGAAAACTACTTGGACAGCCGAACTGCTCCTATGCCCAGAGCTGAGCAGCCCAAGCAGACCCAGGCTCTGCGGAGGGATGAGCTTGAGGCTCGTCTGAGCTTGAGCTGAGAGCGAGCAGCCACAGGGTGGCTGGAGAGAGCCGCTGTGACGGAGCTGCGCCATCCCCGCCCGGCCGGCAGCGAGCCCGGCTCCTTTCTGCTGTCCGGGCCGTCAGGCTGACCCGAACTGCTGCTGACAGACACGGGGACGCAGCAGGGACAGATGCCAGGCCAGCACCCTCCCGGCTGGGAGATGCTCCTTCTCTCCCAGGGAATCCATGCCCGGCCTCACATCCTCGCAGCTCCTGCACTGCCTGCAGAGTTGCAGTGCCTGGCACTGCCCACACAGCCCATGGGGGGCACAGAGCTGCCCGAGGGGCTGTGGGTGACCAGCCAGGGGGGCTGTGCCCACCTTGGCTCCCTGCAGCAAAGCCGGAGCTCACAGGTGCCCACATTCACACAGTCACACCTGGCCAGGGCTGTGTTATGAAAGAGCACACAGGGACCCACCCCAAACCTCTGGCACAACATCACAGGGATAATGGTAATAATAACAACCATCCTAACCTAATTAAAGCTGGCAAGAGAGCAGAGCAGCGGCGACAGAGCGGCAGAGGAATGATTAATAATGAGAGGCCAAGGTTTCAACACTTGTTTTGGTCCCATGTGAGAAGACAAGGCTGGATTCCTGCAGCTGCCAGGGAGGGAGTAGGGTGCAGGAAGAGCCATGCATCCCCTGCTTCAGAGGTGCTGCTTTGTGAAGGAGGGCTGAGCTGTATGGATGCAGCAGTGCCTCATGGAGAGATGTCCCAGCCCATTCCCTTCCCCAGAGGTGACACAGTGAGCCTGTGATGGGCAGGTACGGCAGGAGCAGGTTGGAATGTTGTCCCCAGATCCTGCTCCCATGAGCCAGATGGGTTCAGTGTGAAGCTGCCATGCAGTGCCCTCCAGCACCCTCAGGGCAGGAGCTCAGCACCACGGGGGCTTTGTGGTTTCCCCCACCTTGGAGATGGATCCCTGGCCTGCTGGAACGCTGCTGGCTCCTTCATGGTGGCAGCCATGGGGCACCAGGGGCTCTCATCTGCCTCATGGAAGATAATTCTGCCTTAGGCATGGAGATGAAGAGAAGGTGCTGAGGGCAGCACAGTTTGATCAGGGCATCTCCTTGCCTTGGGCCATGGGGAAAGGCCCTGCTCCAGCTGAGATAGCAGCTCCCAGCTCGTCTGGTGTCATCCATCCCCTGGCTGAACTCCTGCTAGCAACAACAGGATGCACCCTCTCCCCCCCTGAGCATAGGATGGGGTTGGTTTTCACCAACGGGAACTCACCCAGCTTTACTTCCATTCTCGTCCTGTTTATTCTTGTCCTGCTTCAAAGTCACAGGCTCCCGTGTGTCCTGGGCACAGCTTGAGGGCTGGCACAGGCCCTGGGCTCCTCTGGCTCCACCGGCTGCCTACCTGGGCTCCTGGGGGCTGGGGGGTTGAGCAGTGTGGTCACAAGCTGATTGCATGAGTTCTGTTTGAGCAGGGATTGCTCCTGGGGGCGCTGGCTGCGTGTGTCCAGGGACCTCTGTGCTCCTGGACTGATGGCATGGCACGGGGACAGGTCACCATCCTCATGGAGAAAACTGTGTGACTTGAAAAACACAGGATGGAGACTACAGCTCACTCTCCTTTTGCCTTTCCCCAAGCCCAAAGCGGGGCTGTTTGACCTCCCCACATCCAGCTGGAGCATCACACCCAGGCAGTGACCTCCTGCTCGGCCGGAGGGTCCGAAAGCACGGCCCGGGGGTAGATCCCAGCGAGGGCATGGTGGAAAGGCTTGCAGGCAGGTGGCTCGAGGCTCGCACCGCGCTTCCCAAGCCCTGCGCCGCTGCTCCGGAGCCCACGGCAGCTCCCTGCGCACGGGGCCCGGCACGGCCCCCTCCTCCTCGGCACGGCCCGTGCTTTGCGGCGGCCGCCTTCAAACAACACCCCCAGCCCGCAGCCAGCCCCGCGCTCACCCGGCTAAACCTGAAACAAACCGAGACAAGGCTTTAAACACCCTCCGTAGTCGAAGAAGGGCTAAAGCTCGAGGGGGGCTCTGCCGCAGAGCACGGGCCCGTCCCGCTGCCTTGGCTGGCGAATGGCTGCTGGCGGCCCCAGGGCGGCTGATCCCCCGGCAGCGGCACCGCGCCGCTCACATGGGATGCTCGTTACGGCCGCGAGTTCATCGCACGGCGGCGACGGCTATTGTTCCTTCACTTCCTCTTGTTATTTCCCCTCTCCGCAGATGGGGAGATCACTTCCAAGCCTATGGTGCTATTCCTGGGACCGTGGAGCGTCGGCAAATCTTCCATGATAAACTACCTCCTGGGGCTGGACAACACTCCCTACCAGCTCTACACAGGTACCACACTCACTGCTTTGCCAAGGGGGTGCTGACACCTGCATTTCTACATTCCTGCAGTCAGCAATTCCCAGCCGTGTGTCTTCAATCCCTCCTTACAGCCGGGAGGTTGGGATCTGCTCCATGACACCTGGCTGTGGTGCCATGGAGGGAGAGGTTCCCCATCACAGCCTGTCCACCCTTGCAAGGGTGGAGGAGCATCTCTCCCACAACATCCTCATCCTGCAGCACAGGGCTCACAGCTCCCAACACCAAACCCGTGAGCAGCAGTGATGTCAAAAGGGCAGCTCAAAAGGGCTTTCTCTTCTCCCCATCCCTCCTCACGTGCAGCCAGCTAATTCACCCTCCCAGGAGAAATGTCATTCCCTTCCTCCCTCCCTGCTCCCACGGATGTCATCTCACAGCTAAGAGCAAATGTCCATGGCCAGATCAGTGCTGTGGTAATGAGAGCTCCCAGGAGATGGTTCTCCATGACACCTTGTGCAGTCAGGCCACTTCCAGAGAAACCAGTCCCCACAGAAAACAACCCCATGACATCTTCCCAAGAAGTCAGGGCAGGAATTTCATGCTGTTTGCCTTGCCCCTGAATCTCTTGAGAAGCATGCAATGCTCTCCATGCTCCCAGTCTCAGGCCAGCCCTGTTGTGTCCATAGCCTGGCATGGATTTCATGCCACTGCTGCTCCTCTCGTTGCTGTGCAGGGGCAGAACCCACCACCTCCGAGTTCACTGTCATCATGCACGGCCCCAAGCTGAAGACCATCGAGGGCATTGTGATGGCTGCTGACAGCGCCCGCTCCTTCTCGCCCCTGGAGAAGTTTGGGCAGAACTTCTTGGAGAAGCTGATAGGCATTGAGGTCCCCCACAAACTGCTGGAGCGAGTCACCTTCGTGGACACGCCGGGCATCATTGAAAACCGCAAGCAGCAAGAAAGAGGTAGGGGTTCACTGGGTTCATCTAAGGGACCCCAGAAAAGATGCTATGATGATCTGAGGTGACAAAGGTGGCTAAAGCACAATGGAGTCCTGACACAGCACAGTCTGCCCAGGACAGTGGTGGAGTCACCATCCCTTGGGGGGATTTAAAAGATGTATGGATGTGGCACTTGGGGACATGGTTTACTGGTGGCCATGGCAGTGCTGGAGGAATGGCTGGACTCAATGATCTTAGAGGACCTTCCCAACCATAAGGATTCTCTGATCCTGTGATTCAGTATCTGCTCACAGGAACATCAGGAACCCGTGGTCAGGAGCAGGGAGGAGGAGGGTCTGGAGATAAGAGTGAGAGAGACAGGCAGTCACAGGCCCAGACACTCATGGATGGCTTTTTGTGCCAAGAAGCTCCAAAATGTTTTTAGCATGTGAGAAAGAGGCTCTAGGCTACAGGGGAAGTCTGCTGGGCCTCACAACCCATGCAGCCAAATGGCGACTGAGGCACAGCAGACTCACAGTTTATCAATCCCTTGATGAAGGGACTCATCCTGCATTGGATTTCTCTGTTTCCTCTCCTCAAGGTTACCCATTCAACGACGTGTGCCAGTGGTTCATCGACAGAGCCGATCTCATCTTTGTTGTCTTTGACCCCACGAAGCTGGATGTGGGCTTGGAGCTGGAGATGCTGTTTCGTCAGCTGAAGGGCCGCGAGTCTCAGATCCGAATCATCCTGAACAAAGCTGACAGCCTGGCTACCCAGGAGCTGATGAGAGTCTATGGTGCCTTGTTCTGGAGCTTGGCTCCTCTCATCAACGTCACAGAGCCGCCCAGGGTGTACGTTAGCTCCTTCTGGCCCCATGACTACCATCCAGAAACCCACAGAGACCTGTTCCTCAAAGAAGAGATATCGCTCCTGGAAGATCTCAACCAGGTGATTGAGAACAGGATGGAGAACAAGATTGCCTTCATCCGCCAGCATGCCATCCGGGTGCGCATCCACGCCCTGCTGGTCGATCGCTATCTCCAGACCTACAAGGACAAAATGACCTTCTTTAGCGATGGAGAACTGGTGTTCAGGGACATTGTGGAAGATCCTGACAGGTTCTATATCTTTAAATCCATTCTGGCAAAGACCAATGTCAGCAAATTTGACCTCCCCAACCGCGAGGCTTACAAGGACTTCTTTGGCATCAATCCCATCACCAGTTTTAAGCTGCTATCTCAGCAGTGTTCCTACATGGGAGGGTGTTTCCTAGAGAAGATCGAGAAGGCCATCACCCGTGAGCTTCCCGATCTCTTGGGAAGCATCGGCTTGGGGAAGAAGCCCAATGTCCTCTCCTGCGACGTCACTGGCTGTGGCGAAACCCCAAAGAATCGCTACAGGAAGCCCTAAGGTGATCCACAACCCAACTGTCCACGTGTTCCTACTGGTGAATGAGCTTATGTCTTATCTGTCCAAGAAGCCGTGGTTTGTTAACCCTTTGAGTGCCGCGCTGGCAAAGGCTACTGTATGATGAGGACTTTGAGTCATTGACGTCGATGGCAGGGGAAGATGGGTGGGCATAAGGAAGAGAATAAAAACTGTGAATTCCTGACATTTTATCTTTGTTCTTTTGAGTAGAAGGCAATGTTTAAGCTGTAAGTATGAGCAATGCATGGGCAGGACTGCAGCTGCTTTTCCACTGGTGCCAAGAGTGCATGAAGAGGAATTTCAACCTCTGCATCCCCGAAGCCATGAGGGAATGAGAACAAGGGCACAGCTTGAGAACACAGGGGAGAGCAGTGACACACTAACCCAGGCATCACCGGGAGCACTGGTCAAGGAAAGAGAAGCCATGTCCCAGCTGTTGTTTTCAGGCACAAACCTGCTACAAATCTCAGCAAATATTGATCTTGTTTTTATTTCTGAGACCTCTAGGTCACCTGGTGAGTTCTGTTTTCACTTGACAGCTCAGTTGATTTTCTGCAGCCTTCATGTGGGTGTTTGACTTAAGAAGGAGCATTTGAAGGGACACTTGTAGCTCCGGACAGGCAGCTGTGATGGGATTTGCAAGTCCATGGCAAAGGAAGAAATGGAGTGGAAAGGAGCAGCCATCACTGGCTGAGCTGTGCCAGACGAGGAGGGCCAGCACCCCAAACCAGACGGTCCCACAAGGAGATGTGAGCAGGGTTTCCTTCCCTGGACCAGCACAGAAGAAGGCACTTCATGCCTATGTGTGTCATTAACCTCAAAATCCATGCTAGCAAGTCTTGTCTTTAGACCAGCAGGGCTCCAAGGGTGAGAGTTTGGCAGGTTTGCCTTTGTTCAAGTCCATGTTGCTCTTTTCTCAGTCAGCCCTCCGTGGTTTTGTGCTCTGTGGAGGGAGGCAGGAAGGGGGGTCATTAGCTGTGAAGTTAAAAAGGTCACATCCCTTTTGCCTACCTGCTGACCTGTCCTCCCCAGGACAGTCCAGGCAGGTTTCTGGGGCTTGCTTTCCAAACTCCTCCCTTTTTAGCCATTTGTTGGCTCGTTTCTGAGCATCGGTGCTCAGTCCTGAAGGAGTATTGCTTTGGAAGCACCCAAGCAGGGTGAAGTTCCCCATGGACAGCTGACCTTGAAACTTGGCCCTCACGGACAGCATTGCTGTCTGCCAAGCTGAGTCCAAACCAACCAGGCGATAGATGTCATCCTGGATGGAAAACCAGCACCTTCAAACCCACCAAGAACCTGCTGAAAGTCCTTCCTCCTGCCAAACACCCACAGCAAGCACTACTCTCCAGGAAACCTCTGGAGAAAAGGGACAGAAGCAAGAGGACATGGAGATGCTGGATAAAGCAAGAAAAAGGCAAAAGGAATGAAAGAGGGAAAGAGAAAGCTGGGAATGGAAGGCTGCGTTGTGATGGGGAGGGTGTGAAGGGCATCTCCACATGTGCAACAGGAAGAGAGCTAAGGCAGGAGGCCTGGGAGAGCTCCATGTCCCCCAGACACTGCAATGAAGTGGTGCCCTTGCGTCCAGGTGAGTTTGAGGGGATGCTGCTGCAGGGACTTGAATGTTCCTGGCCTCTGCTTCAAGGTAGGACTTGACATTTGAACTAATGAAGCTGAGACCGAAATCTACGTCCAAGCACAGGGCAGGGCGTGGTTCAGGAAGAGGGATTTTGCCTGCAGTGCAGAGGGAGCAGAGGTGCAAGGGAAGGCAAGCAGTGCCAGGGAGAGCAGCACCCAGAGCAGTGTGGAGAGAAGGGATGTGCTTGTGAGTCTCAAACCTGCCCCAGTGCTGCTGCCCCTCTGCTGCAATTCCTTCTTTCTTGTCCATGATCCCATTGCTCATCAGTTTTCCTCTCCATCTGTCGTTCACTCTCCTCTGTCGGACTGGTCTGCATGGTTTTTTAAGAGCTAATGGAATAGAATCACCAAGAGAAACTGGCTGATGTTGTCACTGTTCCTGCTATCACACTGTGTGTCATTGTCACAGAAAGCAAATGCCTTTAAACATTTCTGTTTGCAAGCACTGTATTGCACCATCTCTTTCCTAGTTCCTCTGTCACCCTAAAGCCCATGGGGTACCCAGGGAAAGGCCCCCTGCCCCACAAGAAGTATTGACCTTGAAGGCACTGAAGTGCTCTCAGGCCACTCCCATCGTTCTCTCCACCCTTTCTCTGGTTTCCTTTTGCTTTATTTTCCAGCCTTCATTGCCTCCTCTCCTCCCTTCCTCTTCCCTGCAGCACCTGCACAGCCTGTGCAAAGCCTTGGTGCCTGTGTTCTGGATGGGCTCCCCCACAACAGCCAAAGCCTTTTCCCCCAATATGGCTCTTTTGGGTTCTCCTTCCAAAGCCCTGGCATTGGGGATCTGCTCCCTGTGACACACACTGACCCAGCTCTGTGCTGCCTCAGGGAGATGCCACCACTGAGATGCCTCCTCTCCCACGGATCCAGGTGGCTGTCAGTCCCAAGAGGATTGCAGTTCCCTGCCCAGTTCTCACTGAGCTTTCTCAGGAGACCTCTGGGAATCTGGGAGTGGAAAAATGGGGAGCAGGGAGACATTTTCATTCTGCTGAGAAACTCAAACCTCCCCAGAATTTGGGGGAGTGGAACATCTTGCCTAAGAGCTTCATGGGAGGGAGGGAGCTGGGACACAGGCCCTGTAGATGCCCGTGATCATGTGCATTGGGATAAAACTGTCAGCTTGAACATCAGCCTGTCTAATAAAACCTGATATTTTCCAAACACACTCCCTAGAGATGCTTGTTTTGTTTCTCCTCCTGGTGTGGGAGAGAGCACTGGGACTGGGGTGGATGAGGGGGTGCAGCTGCAGGGAGCAAGGTAGGAACTCCCATCTCCTTCCCTGCACCCCAGCTTTGGCCTCTGTCCCTTGCACAGGACCTGCCAGCCATGCCTGAGTCATTTGGCTGCTTTTCCAACCTGTCTCCTTGTGCCATACAGGCAAAGCAAACCCCAACCCCTTTGCTTTGTGCCTCAGGGCAGTGTGATCCTCCCTGGTGAGACAGATCCCACCTGCCTCAGCACATGCTGTCAGGGCACCATGACAGAAGGACCACGGAGGAGAACCCAGGATTGGGGATGACAGCAGAGGGCAGGGTTGGGGATCATGGAGGGAGGCAGGGATTTGAGGAGCTTGGACGAGGACAGAGGGGTTGGGATCCCAGCAGAGGGCAGGGGGTCAGGTACCATGGAGGAAAGAGGGAGGTTTGTCCTTCTCCATGGATGTCTCCCTGCTCCCCTTTTTTCCTCGATGGGGGAGGACAAAGGGGTTGGGGACCATGGAGGAGGGCAGGAGTACAGTACCATAGATGAGGACAGGGGCTGGGGACCATGGAGGAAGGCAGGGATTTGGGGACCACGGAGGTGGGCAGGGATTTGGGGACCATGGAGGAGGGCAGGAGTGCAGTACCATAGAGGTGGACAGGGGCTGGGGACCACGGAGGACAAAGGGGTGGGGGACTAGAGTGTACATAAGGGGCTCTGAGCAGCCACCCAGCAAGGGGTGGATGGAGAAAACTTCCCACCGGCCACTGGGGCTCATGCAAACTGCTCATTATAACCCTATTCCCAGCCTGTCTGTCTGTCTTTCTTTCCAACTATCTGTCTCACTTACTAATCAAAGAAGATTGTTCCAAGAAAGCTGGAAGAAGAGAAGGAATGTCTCATTTGGCTGTGGCTTCCTTTGGAAAGTCTGGAAAAACTGTGGCATCTCGACGTGCATGAAGGTCTGCCTGGCGAGAAGCACATTTTCCTTCCAAAGCTGCTGTAAAGATGTGAATCATGAGCCGGTAACGCTCCTGGCAGAGCAAACCCCAATTCCACTGAGACGCGGTGCTGGCAGTGGCTCTGCTGTATCTCTTGGACGGAAAAGACAAACATTTATCATAGTGACATTGCTGGGGAAGAGCTGCCGGTGCTGCCGAGAGCCTGGCGGCGGCCGGATCCTGCCAGCTCCCAGGGTGCTCCCACCAAGGTTTCCAGAGTTCTCCTGAAGCTCCTCACACACCAGCCAAGGGGTTTACAGTCCCTTTTGGTTGTCCTCCACCACCTCAGCCCCTCGGTGGCATCTCTTGCAGCCATGAAAATATCCCACATCCAATCATTAGGAAAAGAATAAAAGCTTTTGGAAAGGTCTGCTGGGAGCTGGGGAGAGCCCTGGTGCTCTGCCTGCTGCACACTGGAGGTCCCCACCCAGTCTGTTTTCTGCTGTTCCCATGCATCCAATGCTGGGGCCAAACTCCTTCCAAACCTTGCCCCCCAAAACTCCCAGTGCTGCAATTTTAAGACCCCAATGGCTGTGAGATTTTTATGAAGCCACTCACTCTCTGTCCAGGTGGTGTCAAAGTTCTGCCCACCTGGCTGTCCATCACCGAGCTGGGGTTGTCACTCTCCCTGCTGGCAGCAGATGCCTGACTGGTTCAAGCTGCCATTTACAGCTTCTGGAGCAAACAAACCCCCCTTTCATGTAAGTCCCTCCTTTTTGGGTCTGTGGAACTTCATGCGGCCCCAAAAGCACCCTGGCTTGCACAGACCCCATAGCCCTTTGGCATCCCTTCCCAGGACAGGGTCTAGGCTCAGGCTTGGAGTTGGAAGAGTTGCAACATTAAGTTCAGGACATGTCAGACAGATATCTCCTGCCTCAAACCAGAGCACTGAGATCAGTTTGTGTCTGTGGAGAAACCCAAAATCAACACATTTTACCCAAAATGTGGAGGACACTGAACCAGGAAGGCAAGTAAAGCCATGTCCTGAAGAGTGTGCAGGGGCTTTGGGAGCACTTCCCTTGGCTGACACAAATGGAATCATGTGTTGGAGAAGCCATCTAAGTTCATCAAACCCAGCTGTTAATCCCAAACTGCCAAGGCCACCATCAAACCATGTTCCCCAGTGCCACATCCACACGTCTCCACGGGAGAAGGATTTGCAGACTGCAAAGGGGTTCAGACCCAGAACTGGGGTTTGCACATGAGGTTGGTGTTTCCTGGAGGAGACAGGGTGAAGGAAGGGGAGCAAGCCCACCTCTGGAGCTTCTGCCTTGGAAAAAGGAATGCCCAAAAGGACTGTCTGCTTGAGGGAGATGGGAAAAGCCTGGATATTGGCTCCAAGGGCTCACCACTTGCTTTAGTACACCTACATCATATTCAGGGCAAGCATCAGAGAAGCCAGGGCATCCTGGATTTCACTCCATGAGGTGTCCAGCAAATGTTACCCGTGAAAAACAGGGGGTGGTGGGCCAGGGCTTGGGGGTACCTCTAAGCAGAGCAGAGGCAGAGGGATGACAGGGTGCTCACACACTGCTGTCCCTGGCCAGGAGCTGCTGCAGCCCAGGCACCAACTTGGTGAATTCCCAGCAGTT